ATGTTTCTGTTAGAGAAACATTAGTCTTTTTATTTCTGCTTTAAAACAGTAACGTCGCTCTTATAATTATTTTTTTGGTTTGTTGAATTTGAATTGGAAAGATATTTCAGTTTTAGGATTCCATCATGGCTGTAACTAAAAGGGTTAATAAATTGAATCTTCAATGGAGTGAAAGATTCCAAGAATGACATAATGCGTGGGGGTGCAATGATAAACAGTCCTTCAATAATCAGAGGGAAAAAGTTTAAGACAATCTAGGGCCCAAGAACACGGCATACACATCAATCCTTATCTATGGTGGAGCATCAAGGACATGTTTAGAGCGATGTGCTGTGGCACAGGATAAATGGAACCACTCAAAAATTGGATCAATTTTACAATCAACCATGCAAATCTTCTTCCAAAATTCCACTAGAATTGATTTTTTCAGTGTGTTATCTCATTGTTTGTGGTTGAGATGATTTGGAATTTACCAATTAAACTACTCCAAAATGACTACTTATAATCTACTTTTATATATTAATCGTGAGTTTTTGGAAGAGGGTTTTCAAGAATTATTTTAAATAAAAATATTTTTCTAAATTTTCATAAATAAAATACTTCTCATGCATGCAACGTTTATTTTTAAAATTTGACTTTATTTTATATTTAAAACTTCCATAATTTATTTCCTAATTTTAAAATTTTATAAAATTACAAAAAATCATGTAATATGCTTTTAAATTTTTTTTTATCACAAATCATTGTCATAAAACAAAAATCATGCAATGAAATTTTAATTTGTGTTTAAAATTAATTTTAACATAATAATATTTGTACGATGTATACAAAATTATAATAATTTAACTAAACATATTGATAATATAAATTTTTATACTGTTATGAATAATAAATTATCATATTAATAAAAATAATTAAAAAATATACACACCACATATTTTAATTATTTGACAGTGAAAAAACTTATACCAACAATACCTATAAATAGAACCCAACTTTATAATTATAATTAAGCATGTTAAAATATCTTTCTGACTACATCAAGTGTAGATCGTAAGGCTAAATAAAACCGGTATCACCACTTACAAATTACAATTAGCTATCCAAAGCTTGAAATAAAATGAATAAAGATTATGTTCTCACTTTTTTTTTTTCTTTTAAAATAACTACAGAAATTTTGTCTGTAAAGTAGACATTCATATAGCAATATAATATGGAATTTTACCAACAGTTACCTTCTTAACAATTGGCACTGTTATTTTTCTTCTTTAAAATGTAGTTTAATTACCACTTCTTATCAATTATACAAAGATATATCCATTATTATATTCTGATTTTGATTTTCTACCTTTAAAAGTGAGTACATACCCGTTGAAGAAGTAAAGGGAACAATTTAATAGGATTTATATATATTATTTAAATTTTCGGCATACTATTGCTATTTTGTACACTTCCTCCACGTTTCTTTTTAAAATTTCGCCAAGGTACATCTCATTGCTACTTGTGCAACCACAGCACCATTGTTTTTATTTTTTATTTTTTTGTAAATAAAAATAGTTAATACCTTACTTTTAAAATTATTGAAAAATTAAATATTTTTTAATCAATTACTGCACTGACAAGACGTTTATTATGGAAAAACTAATAATTTATAAACAATTTTTGTTAATCTTTATTTTATAAATTATCAAAAGTTGAAAAATTTGGGAACGACAATATGGCATCGAAGCTTGACAACCAGAAGTGGAGGAGTTGAATATTTAATTAAGGCAATTGCATATGTAGAGATTGATCCATTTCCCTAAAATGTATAAAACCTCTTACTGATATAATTAAAATTTGTGAAGACCATAATGATTATGATTAGTTTATGTAAAATTGTTTGTAACAGATTGACGTTGAGTTCACGATCCTATCTTTGATATTTTTATTTTATTTATTCTAAAAGGTTCTACAGTTCGATGCGGGCCACAGGCACGACAGCTAATGATATGCAATAATTCAAAGAATGCCTCTCCTTTCCTTTCTTCCTTTTAATCATATGTATAAAATTAAATATTAAAAATTATAATATTTAAGGATATTAATTCATTAAATTTTATAATTATTTATTGTCATTAAACATGCGTTAAATATAAAAATATATTATGTTAATGAAGTTTTGTGCTGCTTATTAGGTTATGCTATATATTCCCCCATTCTAATCCTAGTTCAGTAGATGAGTTAAGTTGAGTTCATGATATTCTTTCCATTTTTATATCCTTGCCTGGGTTTGTGAGTAAAGGTACGTATGAGAAAAGAGGGAGAAAGCATAAATAGGGAGTCTTAAGCTATAAAGAAAGAGAAAGAAAAGATCAAGAGAGAGAACAGAACCCATTCTGCTTTAGTTTCATATAAAATATTATAGAAATACCTGCTTTTGTGTATTTCTGTATGTGTGCATGATAACATGAACTTGAAGTATCATGCTTTGTTCTTTCTCTTTTTCATTTTTCTGTTTTCTTTTTAGCTTTTGATTATTCAAAATCAACAATTTTATCGGAAAAGAATATATTTCGCAATTAATTAGTTATCACATGTGCCATTTATATAGACCATATGAGGTTTTCTTGCAAGTCTGACACGTCAAATAAAGTGCAAATATCATAATTATTATGTTCTCTTTTTTTTCCTTAACTTTTTCGTTTTTCCCACATGCTCATATTTCCATCTGGAAAATCATAAATACGAAATCAATTAAACTATAGATAAGGTTGAACAAAACCGTTTGCATATAGTTATGTCCTTTTATTAATCCTCTTAATACTTTATAAAAAAAATACATACATTTAATATCTTGATAATATAAAAATATTAAATAGTTATTTTATTTATTAAGCATGATAATTAATAAAAATATTATCAATGGACTTCTTTAAAAGATAATGCTATTTAGTAGGGAACTAATTAAAAAATTAACAAAAAAAGATTACTAGCATATTTTTTACTGTTAATATATTTTAATTTGTTGATGTACTAACCATCTTTAAGAAACTTGCTAATTAACACTTATGCTAAGATTATATTTGATGACTAATTCGGCAATTAACATAAAATTGATCCTAAAAAAAGAGTAAATTTTAGCAACAGTCTGAATTAATTTTTGGGCAATGAATCAAAATTTGTTGAGAGAGATTGCACATGTGATGAGCATAGATGCCGGTGGGATGGTTGTGAAGTTAATGAGATATGAAAAAATCCATTGACAAATTATTTTGGAGTGAAAGGAGTAATGCGCCCAATAGTTGGTTGTCCATAATTAAAGCTTTGCTTAAAAGTGGCAGGTTAATAATTGAGAAAAAAGACACTTTGTTAAATAGAGATATAACACCCTATAATATTCAAAATGGTTAGGGTTAGCATATACGATACTAATAGAATATTTTCCAAATTTCGCTGCTATCAGCTAGCGCAGATACGTCGACGTGACCAACAATTTAATTTAATCACTTTTTTTTACTCCATAGAGTAATCTGTCCATATTTTAAATGAGTTCAGCAGCAGGAGAACTCAGAGAAATCTATATATCCTTCAAAATGGAAACTATGATCAGAAGGAGTTCATTTGCAACACTAAGTGGATTTCAACATATAAAGGGTAACATGCTTTTTTTCTAATAAAAAACCAAAAACCTTGTTCTTTCCACGTATTGATGCACCTTTTCAAACAAATCATGACATTGGATGAATTACACATAAAGCTCAAAGAATAAGGAACAGACAGAATCCCATTTTTATTTTTTTTTCATTTTGTCATACCCAAGTTTTCCAGTTCTAGCCAAAGGAGTGTTTCGCACTTTGCCATTTCGCTTTTCACACGGATTTTTCAAAAACTAGGGTGTTCGTGCTATGGACTTTGATGGATGATATATACTAGTCTCGGATCACTACTTTCTTAGATTCAATTTGCTCTTAAATTTGAAAGAATTCCTGGATTAGGTTAATCCGAATAAGAAAATGACACACATAAGTATACTAGCTGTTTCCCTTAATTTTCAAAATTTAAGCGAATAATTAAGTTAATCTGAATATAAAAATGATAAAAATATCACTAAAAAACAATTCAAGAGTCTTCTCTAATGTATGACATATAAAAGACGTCAAAAACCACGACCCTAGCACTTAGTAAAGAAAAGAAGAACAAGAAAGAAGAAAAATACCCACAATAAATTCTAAGTTGAGTTAAATAGCGTATGAATTTATAAAAATTAGTCAATTAAATATATTAAAAAAAGATATATTATATGTGGGTCAAGCCATGTGATATTACTTAAGTTTTAAGATAGAAGTAAAATTTCTTTTTTAATCGGGAAAAAGAGATATAGAACCAACAGTGGTCGGAGGCAAAAATCTGGTTCATGAACCCCCGTACAGAAATTGTAGTGTGTGGCGAGGAAATTTGGTGTGGTATTTTTGAATTTATAGATTTGTTAGAATTGCATCAATTTAGAGTTGTTGGGGTCCATAGTCTTCCATAGTAAAGGATTAGTCAACAGTGGAACTGTTTGTACTATGTAGCGAGTAAGATAAGTTTGTATAGTAACTTGGTTGAGCAGAGACGTAAAAAATAATCCCTGGCATTTATGAAATTGTTCAATGGTCATATAACTATCCATTTCCATGCTTCAGTTACAAGCATGGATTGTAGTGAGATAAGTCTTGGTTTGATAATAGTATGAGTGAAATTGCCCCCACCATTCCTACAAGAGACATCAATACTCACAAGTGATGCCTCCGATAAGACATGCTATACTGTTTATTAACCCCGTTTTTCTCACCTAGCCAAAATGAACCTTCCCTCGCTCCAAATCCATCCCATACGTACACATAATTTTAAGAGAACCAAAAAAGAAAAGAAATATAAGGAACCTTATTGACTATGACGTCTCTGATGGGGCCTCTCTCTTATATTAATTCAACTCCTTTTCTTAGCTGCCACTTCATTTTCCTGTCTTCATATAATCTCTCTCTCCTCTCTCTCTCTCTCGCTCTCATATTCTCCTATCACAGTCTGGTTCAGTGCCACTCTTGCTGACATTTCACCTAGCTAATCAGTTAATTGGAAAGGTTCACCCCTCATTGTTGGTGGGGGTGCAAACTACTACAAACTACAAATGGGAAGACACTCTTGCTGTTACAAGCAGAAACTTAGGAAGGGTCTTTGGTCACCTGAGGAGGATGAAAAACTTCTCAAGCATATTTCTAAGTATGGTCATGGATGTTGGAGCTCAGTTCCTAAGCAAGCAGGTACTTCAACTCTTCCTCATTTTGAGCATAAATTCAAGGGAAGACAACAAAGTGTCCTTCATTTCCATGTCAATGTCGTTTCTTCGCAGGTTTGCAGAGGTGTGGTAAGAGCTGCAGGCTTAGGTGGATCAATTACTTGAGGCCTGATTTGAAGAGAGGTACATTTTCACAAGAAGAAGAAAACATCATCATTGAACTTCATGCAGTACTAGGGAATAGGTAAATCTTGCTTCTTCTGCGCATCATTAAATAATAATTTATTCCATTTTTCTTTTTCTCTTGTGTCTGTGTCATCATATATATGTGTGTGTGTATCTTCCTTGACATGTATGCATATCCTGTGCTTTCTCAGATGGTCTCAAATTGCAGCACAATTGCCTGGGAGGACAGACAATGAAATCAAGAATCTGTGGAATTCTTGCTTAAAGAAGAAACTAAGGCAAAGAGGTATAGACCCTGTCACACATAAGCCACTGTCTGAGGTTGAGAACGGAGAGGAGGACAAGACAAGGAGCCAAGAAAAAGTACCAGAATTATCCAATGAATTGAACCTCCTAAATTCAGAAAGCTTCAAGTCAGATGAAGCCTCCTATGAGCACAGAACATCCCCAATTGCCCCAAAAGGGTATGCAACCGAGATGGAAGGTTCTTCCAGCTCCAAGATTAACAGCAAAAACGACCCCAACTTGATAACCAACTGTTCTAATAAGGACTTGTTTTTAGACAGGTTTATGACATCCCACCAAGAGAGCTACACCACAAGTTGCCAACCCTCAGATTTGATGGGAAATTACCCTCTTCAGATGAGTTATGCATCATCCACAGACACTCTCCCAACCAATTCAAACTCTTGTCATTGGTTCAGCCAAACTGCAAGGCCGTTTGATATGAACTCTGAATTCACTTCCAATGTTATGTCTATTCTTCCCCCTACAGCTACCTCATTCCTCAATTCTAGTTCTTTTTGCTACAAGCCATCACTTGCTGTCCCCTCAGAAGACATTTCAATTTCAACAGCCTCTTTTGCTTTGAATGGATCCAATTACTGGGAAGCCAGTGCCTCCAACAACAGTAATAGTAGCAACACAAGTGATGGCAGCAGAGAATTGACAAGTAGCAGCCCCTTAAACGTGAAGAACAGTGTCCTTTCTTCATGGGGTATGACAGATTGTAGCACCTCCACCAAAGAGGCTCAAATTTCTCTGATGGAAAACCAAACAGAAGAAGCCAAGTGGTCTGAATACCTTCACAACCCAATGTTAATGCTGGCAGCTCCTGAATCTTTATGCAACCAGATAAAGCCAGCTACACATTTGGTACCTGATCATGCTTTAGGGGCCATGTTGCCTCATTCAAAGGAGCAAGAACAGTCCCAAACTTCAAGTATCTTTTCCAAGGACATCCAGAAGCTAACAGCAGCTTTTGGACATATATAGCATGAGGATTTGACATAAAGAAAATATTTTAGAGGGGCTCCAAGGGATTTCTCATCTTAGTACAGGTGTGTGAAACCACAGATTTTGCTCTTGTATATAGGCCTGTCAGAAAAACATTTCTTTCACCATCTTCATTTGTGAACCAAAATCATTTGTCATTTAACATCTCGGGTGTTGGGTAGAATAGAATTGCAGAATAACGATTGCTCTGCTTTGCTCTATCTACTCTTTCTTTCTTTGCTACACTGTTAAGTGCATTACAATGGTGCATTTCCATATCTATGCCATCACAGATGTTTATTTGTGCACGAGAAGTTTCACTTTTCTTTTCAATGGTTGGCTGGGACACACACACACTATAGTTACTTTGCCTACAAACAATTTACCGAATCTCTTTCATCCGGGGTTTGATATTGATATTGATATTCTCTCACCACACTAACTTTCACACTACTCAAAATGACACCAAACTTGTGCTTCCAGAGCTTTACCCAATCCAATGTTCCAAGGGTTGCCCGTCGTTTTCTTGACAGAAGAATGGTTTATTTCACTTCCATAATTGCCTTGACACCTTCCAATCTAAGCAAGTTTTAATTTTACTTGCACAACTAGGCGTTTGGTGTTGTTTTCTCCATAAAACTACAAGTGAATATTTTTCTTTACTCGCCAAGAAAAGGACAGTACCAAAGATTAAATTCAAAAAACAAGAAAAATAATATTCCCCGGGATGAAATCTTTGTGCATTTGCAACATTTTGCTTTACTTTTATTTTTTAGTCTTGTTAAGGACATTAATTAAAAATTAATAAATAATTTTGCATTGAAAAATATGATAATATAGTTTATTCTTTAATCAATATTATAAAGAGCCACATTTGCATATACTGAATTTATTAGAAGAGTGATTGGGGGAAGGGAAGAGTAACAGGGATCATGTGCTTGTAAGTAGTAGGATGGCACCACTAATGAATTGAAAGTTGTTGTGGAACTACGGTCCGTACAATGAGACAGAGACAAGTAGGGCAATGAGCGCCATATATGTGTTTTAGTCCTTTGGAACACACATGAAACATTATCTTAAACTCAAACTCAAACTCAAACTCAAACCTTGCAAGTGAGAAACTTCTAATTCCAAAGAGCCTTAGTTCCATGCTTCTTTCAGAAACTGCTTTATGGGTTATGGCTAGCCACGTCCCCGCCACATGTGCCAACATCAATATCCCTCCACCAATTCACCCTACGCCACATTGAAATTGAGGTTGTAATATTACATTCAATAAACATTTACTAAAGCTGGTAATCTACCCGTTTATTTTCATTAATTCTACGAAAAGTGCCATGTGGCTTGGTGGGACAAACGAGATCAGTTTTGTTCGAATTGAAATTTTTATTAATATTATTTAACGTGTTTATACTTGTCTATTATTGGAGATAAAATTAGTTACTGCCCACTTAATGTTAATTCAAAGAGGCCACAAATCTTCACTTTTACTGCATGTTTTATTTCTTTTTTAAAACCAATTTTCTATTTTTAAAAATAAAATATAATACAAATTTGTATTATTCACTCTAAGCTTCAATTTCTTAAAAAATTAAAAAACTTTTTCATTTGTGATAATATTGAATATTTACTTTTTATTAAGATCAAAAAATTAATTATAATTAAAAATAATTTAAAAAAATATATAAAGATCTATACTTAAGTTGCTTTTTTTAAACCGAACAATAGGACATATGAACTAAATTATGTACGACAATTCATAGGGAAAACGAGGAACCCAAATGGTTTCATTTGCGTGAGTTATAAGTCATCCTCAACAAATACATTTGTACACACTACTCAGAATACATGAAAAACATAACTGTTATAAAAAAATAGTTAAACAAGTAGAAGTAAAATGTAAACATAAATCTTTAAGATTAATTTTAAATAATTAAAGTACTAAGTTTCATTAAAAAAATTATTATAAACATTTTTTTGTATAAAAACTTATTGTGGGTACTTAAAATCAACATTAAGAAATAATGTCAACGAAACCGTAAATAAAAACTGGATCACAAATAATATTTCACTTTGCTGATATGTTAAGCAAAGTTAATAGGTACAGGAATACATGCGTTATGCCCACCACTGAAATGACTTTGACCAGTATATTCTTAAGGTTGGTTTTTAGTTTAAACGCAAATAAAACACCTAACCATGTGGTAAAATATGAATTGCTTTGTGAATACACGCTGGACTAGAAAATTTAGTGGTACACATCGTAACCCAGTTGGTGAAATATTCATCAGTATTTGACATGTCATTTAACAGTCCAATTTGATGCTTAAATCCCTCAAAAAGTTAAACAGAGAATAACTTCAAGTTCAAATAATAGTTAAAAGAAGGTGAAGCTTCAAAACAAACGATGAACACTAATCCAATTGCTAAAAGTTGGAAACGGAAGTTGATAGTTAATCATCCAAGTGCCTTAAGTTACCTTACAACATGTCAATAAATTACACGATGCCCAACTCGTGGTGTTGGACCCATCACAATACATTCGTACCAATAAAGAAGGAGTGTAACTACTAGTAATTGTATACCCTAAAACAGGACAAAGACATAAGATTACTCTTTAAGCTTCCACCGTATGAGAAATCATTGAAGAAAGAGAGAGAAAAGAAATGGCAACTTATGTGTGGCTTTTTCTTCTCCTAACAGTAAACGTGAAATCCATGTAGGGAATGCTTTCAGGGTACGTGAATATGTTTGTCGATCAGTGTAAATATAAAGCGAACGGAAGATAGATTTTGATAACAAACCATAGAAACTACACGAGAGATTATATTGAACTGAAGATAATGAATTGAGGGTATTACAGGTTGATAATATACAAAGACTTCTGTTATCTAAATTAATGAAAGTTGATATCATGTGATTATTTCTATTTCTCCATCTGTCTCTCTCTTTTGTCTATAGCCGTTTAAAAAAAACACACTAAAAGTAAAAGAGACAGCTAAAAGTTATCCCCAAAATTATATAAAAAATATTTTTCATGTACAAATGGATCCACACACACATATATAAGAAATTATATTTATATTTTTTTACACAACAAAAAATTTAAAAATGATTAAAATAATATTATAAAAATATTGTATGAATAATAAACAATTTTCACCAATCAACTAACTAAAAAGTACGGGCATGTAAATCAACTATCCTATACACACTGTGTAATGGGTTTCCTTTTTTTTTTTATCATTATTTGCCTTGTGTCAACAGTTCATATTTCTTGAATCTTGTTTAATTTTGGGCTAATTTCTGTAACACTCATCTGTGAATCGCAGTGGATAGGTCCCTCTTAATCTGGATCAGTTCAAAAGAGGGCCCAAATTAGATGTGGTATGAGAAAAAACTTGTTAGCCTAACGTCATAATAGCTAGGGAAATAAGTCATAATAGCTAGAAAAAAACTGTTACTTGCACCAAAGATTTTTACAATATTTGTTTCAACTTGAAAAAATGAGAAGAAAAAAAACTGATAAGACACGTGATGTGATGAAAAAAAGATTAAAAAAATCAGAGCACCTTTACAATAATTTATACTTTTTCCTCATGTCATTTATCTAGTTTATTCTTTTCCTCTTGTAAAAGAAAAGGCAAAAACCTAATTTGGTAAGGAAGAGGCATATACCTGACCAAAGCCCAAAAGAAAGTCCAAGAACACCATCAACAATAAATCCTCAACCCAATATAACAAAAACAAACGAAATGACACAATAAAAAGCAGCGGTTAAAATTAAAAACAAAAAAGTATGTGAATGCTGATGGATCAGATCAATGCAACTGTGTGAGGAAATTTTGCTGAGAACGAGGGTGTGTGTCGTGAGAGGTGTTATCGTGTGATTGTTAAAATTAAAATAAAACAAGAAAAATTAAAAGATATCTTATATAAACGAATAAGAAAACTAGAAAGAGAGAGAGCCAAATTGGTGAAAGAAAGAGAGTACAATACTATAATAAATAAAAAGTAAACCAAGAAGTTTACTGAATAATTTTAACAAAGATAGTATATATTTTGCATCTCAGTAGATGTTTTTCTCTGATAATGCGGATTTCTAGTTCCTAACAATCTTTGTAGTTTATACGTGTTTATGTGAAAATATCCATACTGGCACATCTGAAAAAAATCCAAATCGTCAAAAGAATACTAATATGTGGATTACATATATCTTGTAAAGTCAAATATTTGAAGTTTTTTTATTTCGTCAGAAATTTATTATTGTGACTTTTCGCTTTGCGGTACCATATAAAGCAATTGATTTGATTCGAGGAATGGTGAAAATAAGACAAAATTTTGTAGGAAGACTCAGACTCTGGGATTGAATTTTTCTCATACTACAGAGGACACGATGACAATAGAGAGCGATTCTGCAGAAATTAATATTAATATGTCACTGTCGCCAATATGTCACCGACTCACCCTTCTTATTTTATTTCCCAAAGATAACGCTTGTTATCTGATTTTATAAGATCCAAGACACAACTCCACGTATGGTTTGCACTTTCCTTTCACTGTCCTACAACTTTTATAATCTTTTTTCTTTTTAATCCAAGTTCAGAAGCCTTAAACTTAGGACTGCTAATTAGTGGATGGATATTAGGCACTTTTGCTAGCTAGTGGTGGAGAAGAAAATTTGTGGTGAGCCTCTTTCTTAACATCATAATATCTTTCTGTTATATTTGTGTGTGCGCCTTTGAATAAGAACATTCTTAAAATTAGAGACTAATTCTTTCAAGATGTATAAATCTAAAATAAACTGTCTCTCACAACCAAGGTTAAGATATCCTATGATAAATTAGCTTACAGTTTGTTATATATATTTTTAAAAAATAAGATTAAACTTCATGTTCTTGATCTTAAAACAAAAATGCTTCTGTAATTTAACACAATTTTGATCCTATGAATTTTGGCCACCTAGTGTAAATGAATACCCATTTTTATCAATGGATATTGTAGGCATGGCTTGAAATTTCGCTGTTACTGTGTGGTCATTGACAGATTCAGAAGAAACTGCAAGGGTCCCATTTGATATGTGTTATTTAGCAACGTAGCTTTCTTCTGGATTTAGAAGCTACAAAACCACCACAGGAAGTGTCTTTCACATGTTTTGGTTGCTAGCTACTTATCACAATTTTGATGGCCTTCACCAGCTTAGACAACTCAGTATCTATTTGATTTTATTTATAGATCATATTGCTCCTTTCTTTTCTTTCTTATCACTGTCTGCGGAAGATGCAAATGCTTTCATTGGTTCTGCTGTAGGAAATAAGAATTAGTTTGCATTATTAACTAGCAATCATCATCCATGATATACAGATACTTAAAAATAAAGGTAACTGTACAAATATAAATTAAAATAGACTGTAAATATTTTAGAATTTAATTTACTAAGCAAAAAGTTGCTTTCAATGTAATTTGTAAAATATATTGATTGAAGAAATTTATATATCAATTAAAGAAATTAAGAATGAATCGTTAAAATCAAACGAGATCACATGGCTTTAGAAAATAATCCGTCAAAAGATATATATACTTTCATCGTTGATGCAAGGGAAGTCATTTTCCACTCTTTGATTTCTCAATTTTAATTTATATATATATATATATATTGACAGAGCCAATATTTATTTATATTATATTAATTATCATTTTTTTTTCTATCAGAGTGTCTATAAAACCTTTTCTTCTTGCAAAAGCAAATAAACAACACAATTTTTAAGTTATGAAATGGTCCAAAATCAAATCAAATGCAGTATAGTTTTTTTTGGGTGTTGGCGACAAAGAAAATGCGATGGCAAGTCAAAAGGCAAAGAATTATGTATGACCCAAACAGAGGACTATTTCGTGATCTATGTTTGCTCCTCGCACGTCAAATCCTCCACGCTGTTCAAATGTTGGAGCGCGAACGCTTAAACACCGTTTCCACTTCAAGTATTCTGATTATTTCTGGATTTTTCCACCTATCTTTCAAATCAGTATTAAAATTACTGTATTTTGTTTTTATTTATTTAAACGTATGTTTTATTTTTATTGATTTTTCAAAATTATTCAGAAATAACAAACAATTATTTATTTAACTTAGATTGTTATCAATCTGCTTTAAATTATAATTGTTCTTTATATAACAAACAGTGCATGCTTCAATTATAATGCTGAAAAAGTTGGCATTATTAGATCATCAGTGATCTATTCAATTAAATCCACTAAGATACTCTTTAGTTGATATTGTATTTTCTTTAATATGTATTAACAATTGTCATAATTTAACCCCCATTCTTTTTTTAAAGCTCATTTTAACCCAATTTTGGTGAGTGGGAAATTATCATATTTCATGTATATTAAAGCATCATTCACTCCTTAGTCAACAACTTAGGAATTATATAAAAAAATAATTTATTAATTTATTTTGATACAAATTTAATTTTATAATATTATTTTTATTTTTATTTAAATTTATAAATATCCACTCCAATTACATACATAATTATTGTACATGTGAATTAATTTTTTTAGAATTTAATTATAATACATTGTTAATGTAATAATTTTTACACTTCAATCAATTCGAGTACCCAACTAATATAATTTTAAATTATTTAATACAAATTTAATTTTTTATGATAATTTTTTGTTAAATAATGTAAAAAAATTAACTATAAATATTTTTATAAAAATATATTTGAATAAAATAAAATTACAATAAACAATAAAACTTTTTACTTAAATTTTCAATAAGAATAAATCTTTAAATATAAATTTAAAATCATTAATAAAATTGATTTGGGGTTAGTGGTCACAGAGAACATCAATGAGACAAAGACTCGGACAGATCAAACGGCTAGGGACCCATCATGTCTATGAGTGTGATGACACTGACACTATTCAAATCCACATTAATTTTAACAAACATTTCATCACCACATATTTCCCATGTGATTGTCACGCAACATCTAACTTCATAAGTGATTCATTACTTTGTTTGTTTTTTTTAATTTTACAATTATTTTTTAAATATTATGTATAAAAACATTTCGTGCCGTCACTTAATACATAATTAAAAAAATTAGTTTTCAATTAATTATTGTAACATATTTGTTTAATTAATAATACTAAGAAAATTATAATTTCATCACATTAAATATGTTTAATTTATTTTTAAAAAAAATGTGTTTGAAGAGAAATTAAGTCATATAAAGTACACCAATGTTTATATTATTGGATAACTCTTTAATAGATAATTAAATTCTAAAATTCACTATTAAGTAAAAATTATTAGCGTATAAATTATATTTTAAAATTTTACATTAATATAAATATTTAATTTATTAAGTCATTCAAATTAATATCATGGATGTTTTGAAATATATATAAAAAATTATTTTGTTATTAATTTATTAATATTTAACTATAGAAAGTTTGATATAAATAATTTAGACAATGAATAATTTAATTTAATAATTAACTTAAATACATTTATATTTTATCTAAGTTATCAATAATATAAGAAAAAGTGTAATTTATATCGATGTAAGTTGACTCCTCCTTAATTTATTAATCATTGATAATATAAAATAATATTTAGCGACTAAAATCTTCATGACCATAATTACTTTTTACAGGAAATATTTCAATTTAAATTAGAAACATTCGTAGAATAATTATAATATTTTTTTTCAAAAACTAGACTCTTTTGTATACTTTCCATTTATTATATACTTTTCATTTTAAAAGAATCAGATATCCTCTATTAAAATGAGGTCTTAAATTTAAGTTAATCCATTTGCTTGAATAGTTACTACCTCTTACTTAATTGCAAATATCAAAATTAACAAATGCAGCAACTACTTAAACAGTTAAGTGAGAGTTTTGATATTTATAAAGAAAAATTATGACGTGTAAACAATCGAATGGCAAATATAAATCGCTCCAACCGTCCAAAACCCCTTCACAAAATAAAACACTATTTATCAACGGTCGGTGAGCGTCCCAGCGCTAATCAACTTGGTCTCACCAAAAACCATTGAAATGCATTCAACAAAACATTTAATTAGTCAGAAATTAAAATTTGAAGAGTTGTTTTTTTTTCTTCCAAGTTTGAAGTTGGAATGGGAAACTCAACCAAAAAATGACAATGACTGTTTAAATTTATTTAAATTGTAAATTAGAGAATGGGTTGGCTGAAGAAAACGTTAAAAAAATGAATACATTGATGGCCTGCAAGTTTGCCTTGTGCAACTGTACACCAACGCGAGTGAATGGTACGGACCCACTTTCTCGATCACCGTACCCTTCTCTTCAGAATGAATCATAATGATTAAGCGTTGGATGCATCGATGAAATGCCACGTGGTGCACACTCTGGTATGTATCTGTATGCTCTTTATGTGTGATGTGTGATATGTGATGAGTACATATCCCTCTTCTTTTATTTTGTTTTGTTCAAATTTAGAAAACAGCCCCAAAGTCATATTCATCATATAAATTAATTTTTTTAAGAATGATGAAAATGAAAAGCGTAATAAAACGTGGACAGGTGTCTCGAATCCCTTTGGATCAAACAAGAAAAGAGCGAAATTACATCAGCGGAGTTGCACGTGGAGAATAAACAAGCTTTGTTTATCTTCTCTTGTGGTTAGATTCAAAAATGTAAATTAAAAATAAAACAAAACCCCTGGGTAAAGGTATGCTAGTGCCCAATCCCAACGGGCACCACAAAATTTCCAGTGTATTCTTTTGCTGTTTGTTGAATGATTGTGGCCCAAAACCAAACACTCATCATATCAAATTCATAATTCTTATCCCTTTTCTATCCTACCCCCTTAGTATTATATACATATGGATAAACCATGTTTATAGAAAGGTTTAAGCTTTCAAATCTAACTCTATTATTTTACTACCATTATGATTACGAGGTTAATTGGTGTAGCGCTTTCTCTTAACCTCTCTAACATGTATTTACCATTATATACGTTTTTCCTTTCCCTCACACGTGGCATCATTTTTATAAAGTTATATAAGAATTAGGAGCGAGGAGTTATATTATAAATTATTTCCATTTTTACGACCTTTTTCATTTCTCCCCTCTCAATTAGAAATATTTCAGTGGTAATAACATGAGTCAAAAACTTTTGGAATTAAATAACATTGGTCGTTAAGTAATCTTTCGTAACTGTCAGGTCCATCTATAATCTGCGCGTAAATTGCGCGTCTCTTGAGAGTAGAAATTAATTAGCATTTAGCAACACTTGTTTGTGCAGGAATCAGTGGTAATTAGATAAGAAGCATATTTATTAATAACCAATGAAATAGAATAACTTAAAAGCTGATGCCGGAAACTTCTTGCCACATTGTGAGAGTGTTGAGTGTTAATCAGGTGGTCAATTATAACTTTTTCCCTTTAACTAACCCCAATCTCCTTCACTTTTTCATCCAATGTTTGACCGCCATATTACCACCCTCACTCGAAGCCAAAATAAGAATATTAACGAAATGAATGAATCATGGTTTAATTACTCGCCTTTAATTAAAAATAAATAAAAAAGGGTAGTGAAGTATTGACATAAATAGGGGTGGTTGATTGAAGGTGTCCTTCTACTCCTACTCTTCACCTTATCATGAAACGAGAAACGAATGATTCACATTAGCCAACACTAGACGCCGCTATACCTTCTACCTCTTCATAATCATAAACCTCTTTCTTTCTTACACTCTTTCACTCACTCTCTTACTTCAATTCTTCATTTCATCTGGGCGATCGATCCAAAGTGGTTATTAATATGGCTTCGGATGAGACCATGATGACCTTTCATTCTTCATTGCAAGATGAAGACTTTGACGATGATGTTGATGATGGGTTTGATCATCATCATCATCATGATCATGATCATCATCAACAACAACAACATCCTCATCCACACAACTTGTCCAGGCTTTCTGTTTGCACGAGTAGCACCGTTGGTGTTGATGACGTGGACGACGAGGTTGATAACCTGGTTTCGATGTGCGTGTCGATTCTGTCCATAGAAAGTGATGGAGACGCAGATGGAGAGTTATCAGATGGGAAGGAGGTGGGAACAGGGTTAACCTCCGAGTCGGAAAACGAAATGGGTAGTTGTTATTCTTTGCCTTCAACGCCCCCAAGAAGGAGGAACGTGAAGGACTACGCTAGTGACAATGAGGGTAGAAAGGGGAATGATCCAAGGAGGAGAAGAATGAGAAGGGTGTTTGACTTTGACCGAGGGAAGAAGAAGAATAAGAGAAAAGATGATGATGGGTTTAGTGGGGAGAGTGATCAGAGTGGTGGGGGTGGTAGCACAGGAACTGGGGTGATGCTCATAACAAGGCCTAAAGGGGGAAAGAGGTCTCTTTGCATGGACTTGGAGGAAGTTAAGGCTTGTAGAGATCTTGGCTTTGAGTTAGAACATGAGCGTATGTTGGAAATGCCTTCTCATCTCTCATTCTCTAATTCCACACTTGACACTAGCAGTGGTAGCAATTCACCCATCGCCAATTGGCGTATCTCTGCTCCTGGTATGTTTGTTTACTCTTTTCTCACCAATTTAATTACTCAACAACAATTAGAAGTTTTTAAATGCTATTATTAATTGGATCCTTTATTTTTATATAATGTTTAATAGCATCTCATTGCAAGGAGGACTCACTTAGTTAGTGATTTATCTTTGTGAGCAAGAAGAATGAAGTGATTCATCTACCAAATTTTGTGTTATAGGTGATGATCCGCGAGATGTGAAGGCTAGGCTCAAAGTGTGGGCGCAAGCGGTAGCTCTAGCATCTGCCTCAAAATACGGCACATGAACCTGATTTTCCTCTAACTAGCACTCACTCACTCTTTTTGTGCGATTGAGACAATACGTATATAGTATATTATATTATAAGCTTTTCTTCCCACTATGATTGGTTATATAATTTTGTTTTAAAGGTTTAGAATTTTCTTCATGAATTTTTCCCCTGGAGTGTTGGGGTTTCTGGTTGAAGCTCCTTTTTGAGTGATGATCACTTTTCTTGTGTACAGTGGTGTTTGAATAAGATGAAAAAGCAATGATAAGAGAAAACAATGTGAATAGGCAATGAAAATATATAGTAGAAATGTCAATGGAAAAAAGAAAAAAAAAAAGTGGAACAGTGGGAATTTTGGATTCATGTATAACATGTTTGGTTATGATTTTATTTGTCGCAAACTATAAGGAAAACACGGCTATAGACACGATTTATCGAAAGATTTTTTTCCCCTTCAATTAAAAAACCATTAGAAAAGTCTTCGCAGGTAAAACAAACGGACAAATATGTCAATTACTAAACACTGTTATGCCGTAACTTATCGAACACTTATTTGGGATTGTTTTTCGAAACCTAAAAAATATAACTTATATAGGAGAAATCACTTACCTAAATCGTGATTTAAAATATTTTGGCGAAAATTAAATGATATTAGAGAGTACCCAGATGCTTGATAATGATGAAATAGACATGCAAACTGAAGATTGTAGTTATATAATTTTGATTCGAATTTAGGAATCTCCGATGAGTGATATCTTCACTAAAGTGGAATTTTAAAAAATAGCTTCTATTTGAAAAAAAAAAGAAAAAAAGAAACGGAATGATATTATTAATTATTACAGAATTCAAATTACAGAACATTTCCAAAGTAATAAAACGTGTACAGCATTTTATACATTTTTTAATACATTTCATTTCATGTACTTCTCATACCGTTCATAAAGCATTATTCATGTATTAAGATTATATTTTTCCAAATAAGAAAGCAGGGTATGTAAAAGTTGTATTTTCGCCTGCTTACATTATGTATAAAAATTATTTTTAAAAAACATTTTATATAAAAGTTATCGATTCTTTTTAAGTCGTAAAAGGTAAATGTAATATACGGCAATAATGTAGGCATCAGATAACTTAGAATATTCGATTCTTAACATTAGCGCGTCCCTCCGCACCCGCTAAATATGAGTTCTGTTGTTGTATCTATCGACCACATGTTGAACTTGTAACTAAACCCATAAACACAGTGAACTTGGATTTGCACACGTTCTCCTTGAACATGTGTCAAAGTTTGATATGTATGAACGAAAATTAAGAAAATAGAAAATATTTTGGCACAGCATGTAGCTTTAATGTGTGATAATGATATGAAATTGTGGGACAGTTCTTTTGGCTTGAATACGAAGTTTATGGCTGGTCATTAATTTGACGTAACAAGTTGAGAGCGATCTTGCAGCAACATTAACAATTTTAGCTTAGTTTACTTGACTTTTCCTCAAAATTTATCATGGTATTGATCAAGGGATAAACGCCTTTGAGAAAAATATCACTTTCTACATTTCCATCTTCGTTTTGTTTTTAAATAAATCTCTCACTTATGCGGTTGATTATAGTAAATATACCTTTATGAAATAAATTAAATTCATCATGCTTGAAAGTAAAATGGCCTTCAAATATGCAAATTTAATTAATGTGCACCTTGGACCTTGCCGGTGGTCCATTGTTAGAAAAGAACAAGGATTCGGATCCCATGCTTCTTGATGCAAATATGAATGAGCCCAACTCATTAGCCCATTCTCATGAACGAAGGCCCGATAGAAGCGGGTATCATCTACTAGCCAAGTTCATAAATGGAGAAGTCTTGCTATATGGTACGAAAAGGTATAATACGAATTTTACACGAAGAAACATGTTAAAAATCATTGGTTAAATAGTTAATTAAATAAAGAAAATAAATTAGGAGTTTTGACGATAATCACGGTAAAATAGACCGAGGAATTTACTGCCCAAATACCTTAAATTTAATTGGGCTTCATACTTCGGGCCTTTGATCCACCTCTATAGCAGCACACCTCGCAATCATATTAATCATAGGACTGTTCTGACAACCTTAGTAATCTTCACACGTCTCATTATACTTTAAATCCACTCTGTATCCATTCTGTAAGATTCGTGTTTATACACATCATTTTGACGTTCAAATTTCAATAACAAATATCTTTCTTGAACATCTTAATGGTATCCACAGCTTCTTGCTTCACTAGCATTTCTTTTATCCATCCTATGACCATGCATCATCATCACAACCTACGCTAGCACTCTAATCTCTTATCCACCCAATGATCTAATTGAACTCAATGCTGCAAAGCTTCCAGTTAGCCCATGTTTGGGAACCAATTCTTTTTGAGAAATAATTGCATTTATTAAAACAAGTTTTCTCAAAAAATTATATATATATAAAATTTATTTGAAATAAGTCAAACCAAATCATCACACATCGAGTGCCTCAAAATCTTTTTTCTCCTTGCTCCTTTTGGAGTTCATGATTATGAAGCCTATATTGTTGTGTCCTATGTTGCACATAATAAAGCCTATATCAAGCTACAAAACGCATCTGCCAACCATTACCTTTTGTACAGCTTGCACCTTGATGTAATTCAATTTTCAATAACATAACACCTTTCTTAAACTCCTTTACAACGAGATTGGTTTTTCAAGATCTCGAGTCCTAAAACATCCATAGCTGATCCTAGGTCACGTTTAATTAATAGCTGACATAATTCTAATTGAGTTAAATGGAAGACTGAACAAGGACAAATGGACCTTAGATTTAGTTCATCTAAAGTGAGCAAATGTAAAACGTGAGAAAGTAACCGTGCATCTAACATTAATTAGAATTGAAGTACCTTGTAATTTTAACTAGCTTTCAATTAACAGTATATACACTTTTATTTTCTCACTTTACACATTTACTAGCTTTAGAGGGACCAAAACCGCCCCACAGTGCATTTGCTTTATGGGGCCAAAAGTGACCAAAGTGCACTAGGACTAGAAGCATGTAATTGGCAATAAAGAACTTAGCATACAAAGGCCAATGCTAAAACTCAACCTCATGGAACGGGAATAAATCATGGTAGATGTGCCATCATCACTGCAAAGGAGGAATATGAGAATTTCAGTTCCACTGAGGAATTGCAAAAATGGCATTCAGAAAGGAAGGGGGAAATAAAAGTCAACCTTGTGGACTGGGAGTCCACCATGACAGATCTACCAACACTGCAAAGCAGGAAAATGTCAATCTCTATGTCACAGTGGAATTGGTGTAAAGACAAAGGGTGCAAGTTTTGTTAAACTTGAAAGGGACAAAATACGAAGACAATCAGAAAGATTTTTCTTCCTCTTAGTTGGAAAGTTACAGACCATGTCGTCACCAACTTATAACTCTAAAACTATCCATTGTTTGCCAGAGTGCTATGCAAATCACCCAAAAGGCACAGGAGACAGCACAATATCATCATGCTTCTTTAGTACACACACCGCAGTAGATCAAATTCAACTCAAGCGTTGAAAAACACGGATAGTAGGTATGGTATAACTTGTATAAGAACAGAGGGAGAGTGAACAGCAAATGAAATCTATTCCATTTTACTAAAGTTGCATTTTCAAGCGCAAGTTCTATGAAACTGATTCTGGAATCATGTTTCAATTTTCTCTGTTTTTTTTTTTTATATATTATTTTATATCAAGCTATCAATGTCTAGGAACCTTGAAAGGTGGTGTGATTAATTGAAAAAGGCCAGCACCCTTAAGGCATAGATTTGAGTCCTTGCTAAATATTAGTACAGGAAAACATAACATCATCAACAATATAAAGGTGGCAACAGAAGCACAAGCTCAATTGTCAAGTTGGATTTTCAATCCAAAGAAATCTCATTTGAATGATTTATTATAGTTCACACGATGATAGATCTAATGAATTGCAACCATAGCCAAGAATGATATTTTCATTATAATTAATGAATGTTAAATTTGCAAATGGCAATTGCGATGATGAAACTGTAAATATCAAATTATCATATGAAAAGACAATAGACTTCAACTCACTTGAAGACAAGATTGTGGCAGGTATTGTCGCAGGGGTAAGCACAGTCAATAGCTTTGACAGCTGTCCGATCAAAATACCAGTCTCCAACAGCAATTGCAATTGGCTGCAGGATAATATATATCAGTTTATCAGAGAATTCTTTTCCAAGAACAACAAATAGTGAATATTCCATCCAAGGCATTAATGTCACTTGTCTTAGACTCAGCAAACTTGAGTCAGCAATCAAATGAAGGCAAAATATTTTTTAAATGACTTTTCCTTTATGTGAAAAGGGTTGGACTGTGATGTATTCTGTATGTAACTGTAACCTTAACTATTCTGAAGCTCACAAGTTTCCTTTCTTAAAAACACACAACGAAATAGGTTTATGCTATCCCCCACATCTGCTATATTTCAACAACATCGAACTACAATGTTAATAAGTCAACGATCCTAGGATTCTCCCATTTTATTCTTATTAAGACCTTTCATCATAGCAAAAGTTTTTAAGAATCTTTCTGGAGTCTATCTGTTCTCTTGCATAATGTTTCCAATACTGACAATTGGAAGAGTTGAGACTTGAGAGTCTACAAAAACCTAATGTTACATTCCACCTGCACAGTTTTAGAAGCATAGAAATCAAAATCATGCATACCATGTTATTAATAAGTGGAGAGTCATCAGCAAACCATGTATCTTGTCTCTCAGACTGGCAATGAGCAAAACAAGAATTTATGAATAATCCAGTTTGAGATGTGCTTGAGAAGTCTTTCACATCATTTAGCATTTGATTTCTGAATTCTGATTCAAAGATGAGATATACTATGTCAGTAGGAAATCAGATAATTGTAGATAAACATCAATTGTCATTAACAATTCACATTCTCACAATAGCAGAGATCAAAATCACCTTGGAGGAACTGAATCTGAGATGAGTTACAATTTGCATGATTTGATTTACATTCATTCCAAGAGCCATGGGGATCTGCCGAAGGTGGGACTAAACTTTGTTGGAGCTAATGAAAACAAATGAGAGATTTTTAGTCCATATCATAAAGAATTCAGTGGTAATTAGGTTACAGCAGCTATAAACGGGATCAACTACCATAATCATAGTAAATATGATTCCTTGTTTGCTTTCCCTAAGAGCTTTTGCATAGATATAAATCACTGACATTTGAAACTCTAATTTACTCAACAATAGTTGTATTCAATTTGATTGGTGGGTCTTTTATTGTGGGTTGAGTGTTGGTAGAAGTCCAAATTAAATTTACCACAGGAACTATTTGAAACAAAGGGAAATCCTCAGAACAATTAGTCACAATAGATACAATGGCATCCATATGATAACACTTTTGAGGCCAAATAAAAAGATGCGTGTTTGCAAGTACATAATTAGGCACATCATTAACTTAAAACTACAAGAAAAAACATTATCATTATTACCTGCCATGCATCATAAGCGGCATTGAGAAGAAACAATGGAGTTTCAACATGGTTAATCAAATTCTGAGGAAAAAAGCACTGAAGAAAAAGAACTTCTATGTTAATGTTTGCAAGTCTAGCAATTTCAAATTATGAATAGAATGACTTCCAAAATCAGAAGATTACCGATGTTGGGTCCAGTTTGTTGAGACAACTCTTTGGCAGACTTTTTTGCACTTCCTACAGTTTCAACAATAGCAATTACTTGACATATTTATCCAAGTTTTCTAAACTTTATATCAGAAAAAAAAAGAAGCTAAGGAGTAAGGAGAAAGTTCATAGTAATGTTGAATCAAATAACTCTTCAAAATTGAGCTAAGAACAGCATAGATCCATAGATATTATATAGATCCATAGATATTATACTCTATTTATTAGAACTTTTTTTACAGCATTAAATACTACCTGTAATTTAACTACACCTCCAAACAGATTCCTCAGTGTGTGCCCCCCAGATACATCAATTCTACATGGTTGAACAGATAATCAATTATAGCTAAGTTTCTAGGCTAATGGAAAGTGTATAAAACAAAACATATTACTTACTCATCAAGAAAAAACCCCGCATCACTCAAACACTTCACTTTGGTAGATGTAGGAAACAAGCTCCGGAACTCATCACAGTGTATTATAGATGCTACACCACCCGCAGAGCATCCGGATAAAAGAGCCTAATAAACAATTTTTTTAGCATCTGCATCCATGCACATTGAAGATTGATTAACAAATTACAATATAGAGACAAACCTGGTTTGCCTTTTGCATTCCCTTGGACATTAATTCCTCCATTGCAGCTAGCCATATTTTTTGTCCGCGAAATTGAAGCTGAGCAGCCTGAAACAAATCCACATTCACATATCAATACAATCATAAATTTGGAAAATGAACAATTCTTCTATAAACAACCAACTGCCAGCACTATAGAATATGAGAAGAGCCTGCTCCTTAGATAGATACATACTCCATACCAGCAAGGATTCATAATACAAATAGATATGTTTAATTCATGCTTTCAATAATTTTAGAGAACAGCACGGTCTCTGTCTAAGTTTGAAATTTTGAACATCCTTCCTTCCAAAAGAAAAATGTCTATATTAGAAAAAATAGACATAGAAGTACGTCTACTTTCTGTCATAAAAGTAAATGTATTTTGAAACTATGAATCATTGTGTCACAGTAATTTCCTGCAAGAGATGTAAACTTGGCATATATGAGTAGGAGAATGAAGTAATGCTTGCACCATAAATTTACCTCTCCCCACCCAACAAAGAAAAAAAAATCTGCTTCTTTGCCTCTGATGTTTGAGACAATATGTCCAATAAATGGCACAAAACAAGTTGTGTTTCTTCTGTCCACTTATTTACAAAATGTAACTTTGTTATCGATTATTATACAGATAAAAGGGAAAAAATTGCACCTCATTTTGACTGTCTCCACTGAAAGATGCCCCATCACAGTACCTTACTTTCACTCTGTTCCAGTTAAAGAAATCTGTGAAGAAAACATAATTCCAGCAAAATCAAAAACACACAAGAAACTCCAGAAGTAATTAACATATGCATGTGTAGGGAAAAGAGAAAAACCAGGGTTTTCTTCAGCTTTATTGCTCAATATCCCAGTGAATGGTAGTTGTTTTTCCATGTATTTTGAGGAACCACGACGAGTAGTCTTTCTAAAGACACAATTTCTGATGGTATTACACCATCCTCCTCCCTGCAATAATGCATAATAAAGCAAGCCAGGTAAGCAGGTACATACACATAATATCATACCCATAAATTATCACAAAGAATTCAAAATTTAAGAAATTATAAAATCTTCAAAAGTATTCCTGATTTCTTATTGAAACTCAGTAAAAAAAAACCTGGATATTGTTTTACATACTTCCAATTGAATTAGCCAACTATTTGCACCAGATCCAAATCCAGGATGCAAGTGGTAACCAGGCAATGTTCCATCCAAACATACTGTGTCATCACAGGACAGAAACATAAAGTAATGACCCTTTCTGAAGCAGAGTGAAAGATTATGCATTGGAGACAGTGTTTACAACAAAATAGGCTCTATCATCAATAATGAAGACCCCAACTAACCCAAACACACTATGCTGTCCCTCCTACTCCCACATCATTAAAGCAGTAAGAAATGATAAAGAGGGCATTTTAGGGGCAGTGAGAGAAAATGCAATGTGATAATGCAGAGAGAGAGAGAGAGAGAGACCAGCCCCTTTAGAAGCAGCTCCTTGAATGAGATGGAGGGGGACCATGAGAGATTGAGCTGCCACTGGAACGGCATCGTTTTCTATCAAAGACAGTGGAGAGAAAGACTCAGACTCAGATCTAACGGAGATAACCGCAGAAACGAAGGCCAACGCAATGAGAATCAGCTTCATCTTTTCCATGTTTCTGAATGAACTCACAAAGGAAGACGCTCTGAGCTTAATCATTCACTCACGAGCACGAACACACTCTCCTTTGTCGGTTTGTCTTTTGTTATTAATGCAGAATTTAGTTTATTTGCTTTAAATAAGGATCATTCATTTTATTTTTTTCTTTAAATTTTACTACAAACTAATAAAATAGGAATATACTACGTTTGATTGCGGAGAAAAGGGAATCAGACATGCTATCTGCTATGTATGTGCATGTCAGTAACTCTCCCTCTTCCCGAGTATACCCTTTTTTTCTTTTGTTTAACTCTCCTCTCTTTCAATGTCTTTAAAACTCTACTTCTGTAACTCTCTGTCCCAATCAAATTTATCATCTATCTTTTCTAGTTCCATTTTTTAGTTATATGTATATATTGTAAATTATAAAATAATACATAATTTAATGTATTATATTTGTTGATAAAAACTTGTTATTATTTTATTACCAGCCTTTTAACACGCATTAAAAACTTATTTATCATTTTTTCTCTATTATAAAAAATAATCAGCTCATTATACACTCTAAAAGAATTCATTATTATTACTAGTCATCATTTGAATTAATAAAATATATTAAATTAATTTTATAAGCTTATTTCAATTTTTTATTGTCATTTTTTTAATTCTGATAAGTGCCTTTTTGTATTATGATGTATTTTTTAAATTACATAAAAAATTATTATAAAATATTATTCAACTGAATAAAATTACTATAGTCTTGAAAGCTCTCATATATTTATTTAAATTTAAATTTAAAATCACATATTAAACTGAAATAATCTTTATTAATTTGCTAACATAAAAACTATTTTATTTTAATATATATGCCTTTTTTAAGTATTCATGATTTTAACAAAATTATCCTTGTATATTACTGTATTTATTAAAAAAAATTGAATATATTAATTTAACAATTCAAATTTTAAAATAAAGATTAATTAAATTCAATGTATTTGAAAATCTATTATAATTAATGCTATTTGTTAATTAAATTCAATGTATTTGAAAATCTATTATAATTAATGCTATTTGATGTTTTATTGAATTTTGTACAATTAACTTAAATAATAGTATTTTAAAATAAATGGATTGTAGTTATTATGGAAAATACTAATTTTATTAACCTGTAATTTATTTGATTAATTTTATAACATTATTTGATCAAAACAAAATCATCTAATGAATGATACTATTTCGCTAACTCGTAGCATATTTTTAAATACTACTCAAGCTAACATTTGAATTTGTAATTTTTTATATTTTTTTACTTTTGTCTTTACTACACTAAATTCTCTTTTTACTTATTAATATTAATATTTTATTGTGAAATGTTAGACATTAAATTTATTTATTTTTTTACTATTTTGAGATATTATGATAACATAGAATTTAAATAATTCTCATTGTTTATTTTATTTATTATACAATTTTATATTTCTTTAATATTGCATTCTTTATTTTAATCATTAAATTATCTATACTATTTATTTCAATCACTAATAAAAATTTAATTTATAAAAAAATGACATGAGTTTAAAATGCACTACTAAGTCCATAATCATAATAATTTAAAAATATATTTTTATCTATAAAATTAAAAAATATATATATATATCGATATATTTTATATTATTAAATATGTGAATTAACTGGTATGAAATTATTTTAATTCAATTTTTATTTCAATTTTAAGTTTTAATAAATGTTAAAAGTATAATTAACTTGAATCAGGTTGATTTGAGTGATTGGATTTATTATTTTTTAAGAGACAATTTTAAAAATATTGGAAAATATTAAAAAATAAAAAAAATATGAAAATCTTATGTGCAGTATTTATATACCTATATGTGTTGTTGAGTTGCTCATATATTATTCTTGTAAATATTAAAATATAACTTAGAATATTGAATAATGCAATAATTAAATCAAGCCTTTGAGAAATTGAATTTTTTAATTAAAAGTCGTTACTTAAACCAATTATATTGACTATATTATTATTTAATCTAAACCAAGTCAATAATTTAAATTGATTTATGTTTTTGTATTTCGTTTTATTAAAATTATTAGGTCATTAAATATAACTATATTAAACAAAAAGAATATATTTTTATGATATTTTGAATTTATTAGGTAGTTTAATAGTTAATTTTGATTATTTTAAAATTTTAATAAATTAGTTTCACAAATTTTAATTAATAATTTTTAGCTAAAGACTAATTTTTCAACTTTTATCGAACTTTTCATTTAATCATGTCAAATATGTTCATGTTAATAAATGAACTGAATTATTATGAACAAATTTGATAACGACAGCTTAAAAAAGGTATTTATTATTGTATCCATAAATTTAAAGATATTTTATATTCTTTTTAAATTATCAGTTATAATTATTTTAACATTTAAAAATTTTTAAAAGTAATTGCATAATTTAAAACGAATAATTATTTTTTTACTATTTATTACATATATTTCATATAATATTAATGAAGATGATTATTTTAGGTAAGTTTTGATTTTAAGGTATTGCAAAAATTATATATATATACTTAGAATTAGTCTCTTTCAAATCAATCTAATTCTCTTAAGGTTCCACTTTCCACTCATTGCGGTTTCGTTGTTTCGCCAAGTTGCATTCATTCAGATGTTATCCACCAACCAATTTTAAACTTAGTAACATATTCCTATAATAATTATTTTATAAACATTGTTCTGTTTATTAGCTATAATTAGAAATAAGACACCTAATACAATGATATCTTAGCTGACATAATTGCTATGTTTTGCATACATGGTGAACAGGGTAACAATGAAATCAGCCATAATTAAGATATCATTGCATACATAAATGTCTTCACGCGAAACTGTCTTGGAAAGAGTCCTTCAACTCAAACTGCAGAATGCTGATGATTAACTGGTAAATTTTTTTAAGTGACAAGACTTTAAGAAATATGTTTAATTATTCTCTTCAAAAACTAGAGTTTAGCAACGTGATTATCAACACATACGTGGGCCTGTGGGCCTGTACCTTACTAAGAAAATAAGAAGCATAACACTGAATCGGGCTATAAAAGATGGCCTTCTATTTTGGTCTTAGTCCATATGGGCTTTGTTTTCAGTCTATAGGATCCTATTTTGTCTAAAAAGTTTGACAGCCTATGCATTGTTAAGGACCATTGAAAGCAATTTTACTAAGAAAAGACAAGGTAGGCAGGGTGTGATTTGTTTGGTACATATTATAATGACTTGTAATAATATATTTTTCATTTTAGATTAAATAAAAGTATTTTTTTAAACTTTCCTTTCAAATCAAATTACATTTCACAAATACTCTTTTCACTCTAAAATTTAGAATATAAATAGGGGCCAGGGCGCTGATAAATTTAGATAAAGATTGAGAATTTAGAAGAAGGTTTTTCCCTCTTCAACAATTCTTTATTTGTTTATAATTTATATACATATATTAAATTAATTTTTAAACTTAAATATATAAAATAATATACTATCATAAATAATTATAATTTTATTAATTTCAAAATATCATCTATTCCCTTATCTTCTAATAATTGTATCTTAAACAATTCATAAGTGTATTAGATATGTATAATATACTTTTAAAATTATTTAAATAATGGTTTAATCCTAGTTAAAGGAAAAGATGAAGTAATGTCAATTCTCTTTCTTCTAGATTTTTTTAAGAGTCTAAAAAAATTTTAAAAATTAAAATATGAGTTTATAAACTTTTTAAAAAGGTTATACAATTTTTTTTACATTTTATTTTTTCTCAAATCAACGTTCTCTTTTTATTCTTTTCCTTCTTTCTCTCTTCTAAAATGATCTATCAAACAAAATCTTATATTTTATTTATATAAAAAGTGAACTAGAATTTTTTTTTTAAAAAAAAAAGTAAAGTAAAAATAAAGGACACGAGATATGTTATTTGAATGAATAAAAATAAAATAAAAAATATATTTTTTACTTATTTATATTGATAAAAAATTAAAATTAAATAAATTATATAATTATATAATATTTTAATAAAAATATTTACTACAATATGTTTTCTTAAAATCTTTAAATATTTTTATATTATTTAAAATATTAATTGATATTAAAAAGAAAACCCCAATTTCCCTTATCCCCCTCCGTCACTCCCTTCTCATTTATCTCCACTTTTATAATGAAAGATTAATAAGGTGTGTTTTTCATGTTTATTTTTATTATCTTTCTTCTTATATTATTCAAACAAACAATGGAAATATCTTACAGCTCTTCTTCCATCTCTCTTGTTTTTTCTCTCCTAAATCAGTCGCGCAAACAAAATATTAGAGTAATTTCATTGCAGGTAGCTTACTTCAATTTTCAAAATAATAATAATAATAACAATAATAATAAGAACAACAACAACAGTTACTTAGGTATGATTTTATTCAAACATATGCTTAAACTATAGGAGTACTTAAACAAGTAACTTAATTGAAAAATTATTTAATATTTTCATAATACGAAAGCTTATGTCATATTTAATTATAAATTTATCAAAATAAAAAAAAAACAACAAGACTCGTAAATTATTTTAGTAAGATATCAACTCTTTTAAATCCAATTCAAGAACCTCGTTAAAGATTAATCAATTGTAATGTTATATGTTTATAATCATTTGATGCAGATTCTCTTTGGCTTAATATTATCTTCTGCCAATGCTCGTTGGAATAAATTTGTTCGCTAAACCTTGATACATAAAGTACAATGATTGGGATTTTACCTAACGAATAAGTGTTTTATATCTTATTCCTTCTAAGTGGAAAGGATTATGTTGCAGTCTAGTGTACTTCACTTGTGCATTAACTGTTGAGAGGACCATTGTATCTGAACTTAATATTTGTAAAAATTACTTGTAAGTGGTAATAGATAAGGTTTTTATTTATTAGATGGGTGGATTTAAATAAGTTTATCACCTAAAAACATATATATGAGTATTTTCAAACTTAAATGTTATAACACCCAACCTACTCGTACTTGCACATGTACTTAGAGTAAATTTGTTTACACGTTCAGGGACCATATAATTGAGTTTCACCTTTACTATGAACGGCTATCATTTATTTTGCATAGAAGTTGATACACTTTGGATGGAAGTGATAAATTCTTCCCAATATAAGAATAGAGTATTACTCGAATATAAACAAGCTCTAAATATAGTTACATAGTATTATATTTGTCATAAATTTGTATTTTTTAAAATAAAATCTTGAAATTTTATTTAATGTTTTTATTTTATTGATTTTCATAGTTATTTTATTTCAAATAATAGTTTTGTTAAGAATTTGTTCTAAAAAATATTTATTCAATCATAACACAAATAGATCAAATCTGAGTATATAGTGTACATACTCAGGGATGAATATGAAATAGATATTGAAATTATCGCTTGAGTATAAATTCGGATGCAAGGTTTTAACTTGAATACGGAAAATTCCATGATTTCATAAACCAGAAACCTTAGTGGATGTATTTGGACAATGCCCGTCCTCAACAAGACCAGCCTTTTGGTATCTGATTTGGTAGCAAAGGACATCAAGTAAAAAGCATTTTGATGTTGATATGCTTTATTAGAATTACAGAAAACAGTGCTGATGCTTATAATATTCCTTATATAAAAAAGAATAAACCTCATCTTTGCCCCATCTCTAGGTTATGCCTCCCTTTTTCCTTGGCATGATGATTCCAAAAACCAGCAAAATCTGGTCCTTTTATATGACAAATTTATTTGGACAAGATTGATTGTTGTTCAATATTTGCAAGTAGTGTTTGTAGAGCTAACAAACACGTGGCCAACATGCATTGGACATAAAGTAATTATAATTAAATAATAGTAAATCTTATTAGTGGACTTGATCAATGAGAGCAACATAGCAATAAAATGACTAGTGGCAGAAAACATCAAAGATTGGTATCCAACCAATGCATTTGAAAATTATCGATGCTCTCCACCTCAAAGACTTCAACTATTCACACGTCACCTCGCACATTTAGCTTAGTGGTGGGACCCCCCCTACAATTCATGTACACATATAAATAGATTCTCTGAGCCACTACTTAGTCATGCATTGGAGGAGCTATACATTCAAAAACCCCAGCGCAAGTGCTGTTTCATTTCTTTGTCAATTATTGTACTTCATTTTTTTGTTCTTGATGTCTTGTTCCCGTGCATAGTCTTCATATTTTTATTATATGTGACTTTATGTGGTTCACATTGATGATTGATGAGAATGCTTCATGTATTGATTTTATCACACCCAATTAAATAACTCACTTAGCTCGTCGTTTTCATATTAGGCGTAGTCGATATTATTGAGCTATAAATTGCAAGATTTGGTCATATATACCTAAATACTCCGTTGATCTTCTGTGGAACTTGCATTGAAACTTATAGTAGTATTTCTATTTCAATTAAATTTATGATCAAACTGCAAGTGATGATGATATTTGCATTTAAGATCAACGGAATTAACAAATTCATTGAATGTTGTTGCAGATTATAATTTATTTTAAGATGGATACTTCTCGTAGGATCGCTGGATTCAAGTATGATTGCTTGCTTTTTGGTATGTTTGGTGCTACACAATCAGTGCACTCTTACATGTTTCACTCTTGGATGATTAAAATTTTGATTTTGATAGAGAGAGAGAGAGAATCAAATTTAAGAAAATGGTTACATTTTAGAGAGGCTATTTATTTATGGCTCCAACGTTTTCCACAGATATGGACGATACTCTCTACCCAATAAGCTCAGGTCTCAATTTGGCATGTCGCAAGAACATAGAAGGTACAAGCATTAACAATGAATATTACTATAACTACAATGCCTCTAGTTTTCAGATAACATGCAAAAGAAGTTCTCTAGCTAACAAAATTTTATTTATAGAGTACATGTTGAAACACTTGCATATCGAAGAAAGTGAAGTACCAAAGATGTGCCTGGATTTGTACAGGGAATATGGGACAACTATGGCAGGACTAAAGGTATAAAAAAAAATGACATTATTCTCAGTTTTCTGTTCACCATTGTTTCCTTATGAAATACTGATTCATGACCAACGATAGTTGTAACCATTAACATATTGAATCCTTGCTTTCAGGCCCTTGGTTATGATTTTGACAATGATGAATTTCATGCTTACGCGCATGGAAGATTACCATACGAGAAACTGAAGCCAGATCCAGTGTTAAGGAACCTTCTGCTTTCCATGTCTCAGCGTAAAATAGTATGTCAATTTTGATAGATTTAAATAAGTTCTTATAAAAAAATTTATTCAAATTTGTTTCTTATTTCTTATAAAATACAAAAAACTTGTGATTTTAGTCCATGTATTTTGTTAAATATAAAGACTAAAATCAAATAAAAATTTTATAAGAACTTCCAAAAGCTGCAATATTATCAGGAACTAGTTACTTAAGTCATTTATATATTAGTTAAATTTGTTAATAGAAGAAAGTTGCATATAATTCTAAGACTTGGAAATGGCCATGGCAGATATTCACTAATGCAGATCAAGGACATGCACACGAAGTTCTCTATAGATTGGGCTTGACAGATTGTTTTGATGGCATCATTTGCTTTGAAACGCTTAATCCTTCGAACTACACGGATTTACCTAATGATAATCATGTGCTAACAAGGAGTAATTCGTTTAACAAAGCCTGTAACCAAATAGAAAGTGGGTGTTTCAACTCCAAGACACAAATCCTCTGCAAACCCTCAGTGGAAGCCATCGAAGCTGCTATTCAGATTGCCAATGCAGATCCAAGGAAAACAGTAAAATTTATTATTTATTACTTAAACTAAGAAGTGGCACATGAAAATTAAGCCTTAATGTGTTTGTTTATATATTTTGGCCTTATAGTCTTGGAGTCAATTTATTACTGTTTAATATTTTTGGCATTTTCAATACTGTGCAGCTGTTTTTTGATGACAGTGCTAGAAATATTGCAAGTGGAAAAGCTGCTGGACTTAACACAGTTATTGTAAGCTATAATTTACTATTTATGCATCTTATCGGGATATTTAAGAAATAAAATGACTCCTCAATTTACGAGAGTTAACATACTGGTGGCAGGTGGGTCGCTCAGATTTGGTGCCTGGTGCTGATCATGCACTGAATAGCATTCATAATATCAAAGAAGCATTACCCGAAATATGGGAGGCTGAGGGAGATCAACACCAAATGATCCAACCCCCAGCAGTTGAAACCATGGTCCTAGCATAGATTTTGCTTCGATCAAAAACCAGTTTAACATACCGAGCAATCACAAGTCACTAGCTCAGCATAACTACTTTTCAATTTAGAATACTGCGCAGTCATCTCAGCACAATGGTGATGATTAAAAAAAGTAAATCATACCGTTGTTGGCATGAAATTATGAAAAGAAAATAGAATACTATGGTTATATGGATTTAAGGCGTGTTTGAAAGATCTTATAGAGTTTTTATAATTCTCGTAAGTTCTTTTCAGCTTATTTCAATAAGCTTTTTTTATATAGCTTATCAAAATAAGCTGTTTTAAGCTTATATTAATAAATTTCATAATTAAATTTATGATGTAAATCCCTTATGTTGAAGGAATTATTAGATAAGTACTTAAGTAAGCTGTCATCCAAACGCAACCTTAGTATTGAGTCTAGTAATACAAAATGCGAGTGTTGTATCTCTGCTGTGTCTTCAAATGTAAACCAATTCAGCAATGACAAATGATAATTCAAACGAATTAACATGATTAATAGGGGGCAAATATAAGATTGAAAAAATTGAACTGAAAATTACAAAAAAAGAGATGTACTGCTGCAGAAGGATCAACCATCATTAGGCAGTTCTCCACAATTAACAATTCTGCAAGGCTTCCGAGGGATATCTAACCTGCTTGTCTCCTGTGATTCAAGTGTCTTCACGACATCCATTCCATCGATGACATGTCCAAATACAACATGGCGATCATCTAGCCACGGAGTCTACATCATAAAATCAAGAAAGTATATAAAAGTTAAAATTTTGTATATTACAATATTTTAGTTAAGTGAGCACTAAATTTGAGAAACAACATCAATAGCAATTTGATCCAGTCTATTAGCCAAAAAAATGAGATGAAAAAGTAGAACAAATAATATTCTTAGATCTGTAAACAGACAGACAGAGTAGAACTAAATATCCTTACTTTGTAACACTTCTCCAATAATGTAAACAAACAGTCAGTGGACATTTGATTTTAGGCTTAATTAGAATTTTGACTTTTACTTTCATTTATGTTTATATATTAGTAACTAGTAAAAATCAGGAGGACTGTGCGTGCTTCTCACCTTTACAGTGCAAATGAAAAATTGACTACCATTGGTATTAGGACCAGCATTTGCCATGCTCAAAACTCCAGGACCAATATGCTTCACTGCAGAACATGTTGAAACTAGAAATTTCAGAATAATAATGAAACTATTTTAAATTGGAACAATGGCTAAAGCTGAACTTCAAATACCAATTACTAGTAAAAATTTAGAACTAAATATTATTATTCAGCCAATTACCAAAACATACATGCAAAACTCTCATCTTTAAAACTAGAGCCATAGATACTTTTTCCACCAGTTCCCTGCAGCCAACAAAAGCACGTTTTAGGCGAGAAGAAACATTATCAACCCATCGATGCTCATACATGGCACGCTATTGTGAAAGTAAATGCACTCAATATCAACAGCATATAATTGTAGGCATACAAACAAGTATAATAGAGCTCACATTTCCTTCAGTAAAGTCTCCTCCCTGAATCATGAAATCTTTGATTATACGATGGAAGGAACTTCCTTTGTATCCGTATCCTTTCTCCCCTGCACAAGGATTATTCAACTTGATCTATAAAAATGCTGTGTTACACAAACCATTTCAGAGTAGCAATCCAGCTACAAAAACAATGCAGAAGAAAAACTTGATTGCTTGCCTGTGCACAGAGCGCGGAAATTTTCAGCTGTTTTAGGAACAACTTCTCCAAATACGCCCAAAACGATCCTGCCGACCGTTTCACCCCCAACTTCTATATCAAAGAAACACTTGGTTGTCACTTTGGCTTGCAGCTCTAGAACCTCCTAAAGGTAGCAAAATCATGTAAGGTAATCAACCACTAGCAGTGAGAAAGATATTGGAGAACATGTCCAAGAAATTTCCTGTTATAGATCAATTTGATTATAAACCTAGAATCATAAGTCGTAACAATCGACAATCCAAATACTGAAAGATTCTACAGTCAACAAGTGGTCTAAATTTCAAGAACCATTTAGGGTCTGTTTGGTTGAAAAAACTTACATAAATATCACATTCTTTTCACTTTGTTACTTGTTTTCAAAAACTTCTACAGGAAATGGCAACAACCATGTTCTTTTCACTCTTATAATGCTCAAGTGGACAGAAAGTAAAAGTCAGAGATCCTGAAGATGTTGTTATCCTTTAACTTCTCCACTGTCTAACATCGGCTTACCACTATTCTGTAAATAATTTCTCAAACCACAAAATTTATATGACAAACTCACATTATCTGTAGCACTGACGCATGTCATTCTCCTATATCTAGTTGATCTTGCTTCAGATTGTCGCGTAACAGAAAACCTAAATGCATAATGTGATTTTGATGCCAATGCTTTACTGTAACCAAGCTGTGATCTGGTACTGTAACAGACCACATGTGGCCTCCGAACCTTAGACACATGTTGGCTAAAGTTACCCTGAAAAAGGGTAGCAAATTTCAATCGTTATTAATGTACTCAAACAATTAGGCACATTTGCAACCCCATAAGAACAAATGCATTAAAACTCATCCCTTTCATACATTTTATTTAACGGAAGCGATTTGGGTGGTTCCAATAAGCAAAGCTAACTTGGAACATGAGTATTGATTAAAAGGGTGAGTTTGAAGAGCATGAAACAGAAAAAGATAAGATAAAGAGAAGTAGGAGGCAGTAACCTGGAAATGACAAAGAGGCAGTGAGTTCTGACATTGAAGCAATTGAGCTGATAATGATGACGCCATGGCCAAAGACACACAATGCTCTATCACTCACTCGAGCGTTGCTGTGTTGAATGTGAAGAACAAAGACAAATACTGAACCCAACATAAAGGGATAAAAGGTTTAACCTATTTTTCTCTCTTTCTATTTTCATTTTCTGGTTTTTTTTACTATTAGTCATTGCATATCATATTCCTTGATTTTCTTCCGCCTGAGGATCTCCCAACTAATACCCTTTAAAACTAATTTCTTTGAGACTATAAATTATTAAAATATTTTCCGTAATAAAATTATATATTACAAATTTAAATCTTTTATGTCAAATAATTATTTTTAATGTAAAGTAGTGTTATCATACGTATTCTTCTTCCTATAATCATATACCTATTGAACGAGTTATGTTCAATAAATGTTTTTTCATTCTTAACTGGTTATTAAATTAATTTTTTAATTAACAATTAAATTTGTATAAGTATTAAATATAATTAATGTTTATAAATCACAAAAAAATCCTAATGACTAAAATTAAATTTTTAGATTTTTCAACATTAAAAATTTTAAGCATGTATATTTTTATATTTTTAAGTTGTCTTTCTTCCAAGTACTCTTTAATAATATTTTATTTATTCTTAAAACTATCCGTAATAATACACAAGGTTCTTGCAAATTTTATATACAATTATGATACCTTGATTTTATCGATTAAACAAGATGAATAGTTGAATGCCAAGTATTATTATTGTTTTGCTTTCCAAGTGCTGGTCCTACAGGAACTATACTAACATTGATTTCTCAGTCACAATCTGTGAATTTAATTTAGAAAAATGTGGTGCCGATTAATGGCTAAGAGAAATGGTTAGTACATTTAAACAAACAATTATTTAGGTGTGCATAATGTTCTCCTGTTCAATTCAAGATTTTACTCTGCTTTTACCAAAAATTTAAAATAAATAAATAAATAATGGTTTGACAGGGTTTTTTTAAATATAAATATTCACAAATCGAAAAAACTGCAAAAACTAGACATTTCTTATTAGATTAGATTTTATCTTGAAGATATATATGTTGTGTGTGTATAGGAGCGACTAATGCTCCAAAAAAGAAATATATAATATTTTTTAACTCGTTTTATATAATCATCTATTAAATCATAGTATTTACTTATTTTTCATAATTTTAAAAATATATAATTAAAAAAGTATTTATTGAAATTCAGCTTTATTTCTGTTCTTTTGATTTAAATTCCAACTCTTAATCAGACTCTAAAGTTACTGTGTTTTGATTAAAAAAAAAAAAAGTGAATAAAGTTTATGCTGGGGAAGCTATCTTGTTTTCCATTAGATTGTCACGAGTGATTAAATATTTAGTGCTGACAAGGGAAGATTTAGTGCTTGTTGGGTTAACAAGCCAACATAAGAACATATTTTCTAATGTTACTTTTTGTTTCTTTAACATTTAAATTTTTACAAAAATTAGGAAAATAATTGATATGTTAAACTTTATAAAAAAAATTATATAATTTTTTATTATATCCTGCTTGGATAATATTGTTTTGTGAGAAATAAAATTTTTAACTTTTTCATTAAAAATAATTTATTTTGAGTGTGGGCGCATAAAATACATTTTATTCATACTCCAAAAACAAATATACTTTACCAACTACATAAAATCAAAAGTTTTTAACTCGCTTTTAGAAAATCATAATCAAACAAAAACTATTATTTATTTAAAATCACTTTTACGAAAATATAAAAGAAATAAATCTTTATTATTAACCCAAATAAGATGGGTCCACTTCAGCTGTCTTTTCTCAGCCCTATATAATACATGCATGATATAACCTAAAGTCACTTGAGTTTGGCTCATCTTCATTACCTAGTGGGAATATTTGCATTTTAAATTGCACTCTACTCCATTTAGTCCACAGCGTGTGTTTGGTGGAGTAGTGGGAAATCTGCTATAATTTTTATTCACTCGTGTTGTGCTAAGTTTTGGTCGCCACACCAATTATATATGTTTCGGATCTAAATTCAGTATAGTTTTTGCCAAATTTTTTTTTATGTTTTTACATTTTTACTTAAGCGAAAATACAAACTTTTGCCTAAATATATGTTTCTCCAAAGGAAAAAGAAAAAGGCTAACTATCTCATAATTTTACCTTTCTTTTTCCTTCCATTGATGAATAACAGACATGACTAGACAATTCACTTCCATTGGGCAAGCCGAAGCCAACAATTTGAAAATTTGCAAGGACACGAATCTGTGATTCGTGGTGTGATTAGAATTTTGAACTGTGTTGTTTTCTTTTTTAAATTATGGTGAGCCACAGGTGCTGGAAGGCTTAAACAAACAAAATTATATTAATCTCCCAAATTACTTTCTCAAAATTACAAATGATGTATACAAAAAGTGAAGGGAGGTTGAGGGTCTCCCAACATGTATGCAAACCAGCTCTATAAGTCAATAAATTTAACTAGTTTTGTAAAATATTAATATAAAATTTTGTTAGTGGGGTTTAAATCTATGGTTCTATAATTAACTAAAGTAACATCAATTTTTACATTTCAGTTATATGTTAATTATATTTTTTTTATTTACTACACACACATATTTTATATAGGGCCAATCATCAATTCAATTAGAATATAAACAAACTTAAGAAGATACAAATAAAAATATTGGTGTGTGAAAAAAAATTCCTTTACCATTGAAGCAACAAAAGCAGCTAGAACTGCGTATAAGTACAAAGGCCCAAATAGAGAGGCCTACCCCACCAAATCCAGCAGAGTACGTCGGATTTATTTATTTTCTTTGATCATCATGTAGGAAATTAAACAAATCTTTTTTTATTTTCTTTATATCTGTTATCTTTTTAAGAATTTTTTTTATTTATCTAACACTTTTAAAAGTTTAAAATAATATTAATTATATATCTTTAATTAAAAATAGTTAATTAATCAACAATACAAACAAAAACATATAGCAAACAATTAGATAATAACTTTAATAACAATTGAAACATTGAGTTTATTTTTCAATTCTTGTGTCAAAATTAAACCTTAAAATAAAAGAATGGAGTATATATACGTGTGTAAAACAGGTTATATTGTCAAAATTTTAATATTGATTTCTTCATTCTGTAGCAATAACTTAGTGCTTTACCTTCTTTCGTTCTTTTTCAATAGTACTTTACCTTCTATAAAATCTACCTTAAACTATATTTGAATCTAGGAAATTGGGCCCGCTGCTTTATGGCCCAATCAATCATCTTGCACACAGGTAATAAAAGCAAAGCTTCGTGGACCCAAAAGAAAAAATCTTTTAAATTTTGTTGATAAACTTCCATTGATAAATGTTTTACAAATATACATAACTTTGTACTGAATTTTATAGTATTCTGCTTTAAACGAATTGACTTTCGTCGTATATATGTAGTGAGTAAATATAGATCATGAGCTTAATCTCGTCCAAACGCATTTTGAGTCATGTTTTTGTAAATTATAATTATTAGCATATAATAATATTACAATACCAAAAAAAAGTTTATAACTAGACACTTAATGTGAACATTTCTTTATTTAAGTATTTGTGGCACACATATCATAAATAAAATAAGGTCAGGCTAAGCATAAAATAATTAATAAATTTTTCAAGACGGTGTGACCGTAATTGGGTTGTTGATAGACGATTATTGAAATTTATTTTAGAAATGACTTCTCGAAATTATCCTTTAAGTTGAGGATAATATTTAATGTTTCTTTTTGTTAAAAAGGATAATTAATTATGGTCGATGTTGTTGAATATGCTAAATAAAAAGTCTTAACGATAACAATTTCATTCGTTACTATAAAGAGAGAAAATATGTTCACTGTTCAAAAGAAAATGTGAAAAAAGAAAGAAAGAAAAAAAATAAGAGAGTGTTTATTTTCTTTTTTAAAAACATTTTTCTGTTTTTAAAAATAAAATTCAATACAAATTTGTATTATATTATATTTTTAAAAATAAAAAATTGTTTTTAAAACAGTAATAAAAAATACCCTAAATGTTTTAGTTACATGAGATGCTCCTAAACGAGTACCTGCACTGATTAAATGTTTGAGCAAAAATGTTAAGTAATTATATATTTGTAATATAATAAATATTTTTATTTCTTAAATCAATGTTTTAAGGACTCATTCATTAGCATTATCCATATAAGACATGTGAAGCTTTTCATTTTTATTTTTTCTTTTTCAAATTGTGTAGCTATCAATGTATCATTTTCGTGAAAGAAATACGATTGAACCCCATGCTTTTCCCAAATGCCTCGAATCTAATCAAATATGATCCATTCCAATACTCGATATTTAGAAGCACAAAACCTAACTGATGAAACGATAAACATTACATCGCCAATCATCGATGATCAGCAAGCTTATCTCCATTCTCTTCTGTGGAGTGGAGGATCATCTTTTAATTACTTTCGTCCAATCACAAGCCCCTATGTTGTGGGACCAAATAACCAGCTGTTTACAACCTGCGTGTTATGTTGTATTCTTCTCTCTCTCTCCCTTAAAGTGCATTATTAGTAAATGGCATTTCAAGGTGGTGGGGGCCAATATACACTCTTACCCATCAAAACCGAACTTTCCATATTCGGACGCAAGAATTTAGGTTTAGAAAACTGTTTATCTCACATATTTGTTTTTTTTTTTTTGTTGTTAATATCAAGTCATTTGACAAAGACAGAGAAATTAAGGAGATTCTTTTTAAATGGATATAAGGATAAGTATAAATGATGTGTGATTCTTATGGATAGATATGAAAATAGTTATGATTGTTTCCTACCATATTTTTTACACTCATTTTACATCACTTATTAAAATTATTACTATTTTTTTTCTTTTGTCTATCTTTTCTCTCAAGAGTATATATACACACCCTAATATTGTGAAAAACATTACTTTTTACTAAAGACTCTGATGTAACTTACTGTGCCGAGTAATTAGAATATTCCTGTACTCTCAGTAAAAGTGCTGCGATTTGGAAAAAAATAGAAAGAAACTATACACTAATGATTCAACTCAAACTTACAAAGTAGCCAGTTCAGATGATCAACCCCATAACTCCCAGAATTTGGCATGCAGATGGGTTGAGATTAGGTCAATGAAAATCGCGAGTCGTACGCGTAAGCTCATTAGACACAGATCGAATGTATTAATTTATCTAATAAACACTGTTAACATATCTTACATTAATTAAGAATATAATCAAAATACTCTTTCTAAAATTTGAATAATCTTTTTCTCTAAGTTAACTTTTAGAATCAAATTCTGTCCATTTTTTGTATGATAAAAGTTTATCAAATCTAATTTTATAAATTTCATACTTTCAAAAATATATTCAAATGCATGGGTTTGGGTAGAATAAATGACACAGAATATAAAGTTTTTAATTGTTAACAAAAACTTAAAACTTTTAAATAATGACATATACCCTTTTTTTTAAACTGTTGCAATTCATATCTGAAATACAAATTAAATCATCGGATTGTTCTTGTACCGGTTTCTCTTTATAACTATAAAAGGCCACAAAAGTGAGCCGTTTCCCCCTGAACGCTTCTCTTCTCAGAAGCTTAAGCTCTATCGTCCTAGCTAGTCGCTCTCTTTCTAATTTACAATTTTTGATTCATTATATCATTCTGTTTGGTACGATATTCTTGTTATTTGCTTTTGTAAAGATAATAATATCCAAGTATTTTTTTTCCTCTTCTTTTAGATTAAAAAAAAAAAAGTTTTTCTGTAAAAGCACGTTGATTTCATTTCGATATATGGCTTTTATTATTATCAGTATGTTGTATCCTATCTAAACTTTGACAGTTTCATTACATTGGCATGGTTTTGTTTTATTATAATTTATTCTTCATTCAAAGTCATTATAATATATTGCCTTTTCATAATATATTGTTGTCTACAGGTTTATTTTGCTTCCACTATAAATGAAAAACAACATAAGCATTGACTCACAACAATAAAATTCTCTCTTATTTATAATTTTTTTCTACTTCCTTTTTTTTCTTTTTTTGAACAATTATTTGTGAGATTCTTCTAGTTTTGACTGTACAGACTTAAGCACACAATTGTGTCTTGGGAAGAAATCTGGGTATATATCTAATTACACAAAAATATCTTATTGGAATTTGTTTTTAAGGCAGTGACAATTATCATCTTTTTTTGAATTTCTCTTACAAATTTTAATTTTATCATTAAGGGAATTGGAACGGTCATTTTTATTAGTGAAGCACTGTCACTATCAAAATTAATTAGTCGATTAAAATATCATTTTCATAAATTAATATATATGCACAGTTGCATATATAATATGATAGAAGATATCGTTCAAAGAATTTGGTTATGATTTTTGTGTTGTTTTCAGCAGTAAGCGATCGATATGGGTTGGAGTGGATGTCACAAAAACCTAATCTCGATGACCGCTTTTACAGTGGCCTTGGTTTTCGTTCAACATGTGAAGTGTGAGGAGGTTCACGACTCAGACCGCATATCACTTGAGCAGGGTGGCTTCGTTCAACGAAGGGGCACCAATTTCATTCTGAATAACAAGCGTTTCTACTTCAATGGATTCAATGCTTATTGGTTAATGTACATGGCATCTGACCCATCCACAAGGTCCAAAGTCACTGGCATTTTACAACAAGCTTCTAACCATGGTTTAACTGTTGCAAGAACTTGGGCTTTTAATGATGGAGCGTACAGAGCCCTTCAGGTTTCTCTCGGTTCCTATGACGAGAAAGTATTCAGGGTATTGCATCTTCAATTAATATTCTTTTTAATTCTACCAATATGACAAAGTTATTTTTGTTATATAGTCTCAAAGATATCATTATTTTCTTCCATCGAGATTGAAACTAATTTTAATTTCTAAAAATAAGGTACGATACTTAGATTTTATTTTTTTGTTATTTATAGTTTACATGCTACGTGGTTCTTTATTTACTGATGAAAGTGCATGCGTAGGGACTGGACTTTGTAATATCAGAAGCAGGAAAATATGGTGTACGATTGATACTGAGTTTGGTGAACAATTGGAAAGATTTTGGAGGGAAAAACCAGTATGTCCAATGGGTAAGGGAACATGGCGGGTACGTGAACAGCGAAGATGACTTCTTTACGCACCCCGTTGTTAGGCAACACTACAAAAACCATATTAAGGTAAGCGAATGAAAGCATGCATGACCTTGTTGCCACGTCTAAGTTAATTACGTGTAGCTTTAGACATTATTAGGTTAATTAAATGCATGCATGACAACTATTAAGTAGTTGATAATTTCTATTCTATTTAAGCATGCGCTAAGTAATCCCACTTGGATAAAATTTTATGTATTGTCCTATAATACTTATTAAATATATCAAAATGAACCACTTGAATCATAAAATATACTATACGTATAAACGATTCACATATTCGGGTAAGGGCTTTTTGACCCCGCGAAATATTACATCTTACGATTTATACATTTACATGAAGAAGTGATAGAAATTTATGTCTTTCTTTTCACACACAAATGGATGTGTAGACGATAGGATGTAGGATTTTAGACCGTACTTAAAATCAAAATGAGTAATTTAATACCGTTAAAATATATATTTCAACCTTTGTATATAATAAATATTACTTAATTTTAAATAATGAAATAATGTTATTTTTATGAATTTATTATGAAAATTCGGAAGTTTTTAATTTCCAGCACAACCATACATAAAGAAAGAGAAATAACAATAATTGCATTCTTACCGCTTTAATCAATTCCTATACCAAATTTTTTGTATAAAACAAGATTTCATTAAATAGTAGGATAACGAGAGGTCAAGTAATTAAGGCCAGTCACCATCATAAATCTTCATATTATTATAATATCGTTATTATTTCCTTGTCCAACAATTCCCGAATTAAAACGTTGGTAATTAATTTTCTCTGGTTTATAAATATGCAGGCTGTGCTGACAAGAAAAAACTCTATAACTGGGGTGGTATATAAGGACGATCCTGCCATTTTTGCTTGGGAACTTATGAACGAACCACGTTCCCAACACGACAACTCCGGAAAAATTATTCAGGTCCTTTTCTGATAATCGCAGCTAGCTAGCTATAAATATTACTCAACAAACTTAATTAGCCACACACGCAATACACATAGTATCCATGCTCGTGGCTTAATTTCTTTCCAGATAATTTGACAACAAAAATATTGCATAATTATCCTTATATATGATTCCTTTCCTTGAATTCATGATGCCTAAAAGAAATAGGCCACCCAATTTTAAAAGAGCCAAGAACAATATTATGATTATCATAGAGATGTGGACATTATTGATTCTGAGGAATAAATAAATCATTAAATTCCATTAAAAAATATTAAACTCTTGGTCACCGATATTTCAAATATGTACATAGATGATAATTGATGAGTATTTTCCTTTTGCAGGAATGGGTGACTGAGATGGCTGCCTACGTCAAATCCATTGATAGAATTCATTTGCTGGAAATAGGACTCGAAGGGTTCTATGGTGAAACAATACCAGAAAAAAAACAAATCAATCCTGGATACCAACTTATTGGTACTGATTTCATATCTAACAACCGAGTTCCCCATGTCGATTTTGCCACTATCCATCTTTACCCTGAACAATGGTACTTATAAATACAAAATTTTTTAACTCATGAATATTAATTATACATGCACAAACAACAAGTGTTCTCTATAATTAAAATAAATTATTATTATACATGGATGAAGGTTGCCAGGCTCAAGCGAAGCTGCTCAAAATGCATTTGTTGACAAATGGGTACAAGAACATATTAAAGATGCCAAAAATGTTCTGGGGAAGCCTATTGTTGTTGGTGAGTTTGGCAAGTCTTCAAAGTTGTATAACGTGGAAGAAAGGGACAATTACATGAGAAAATTGTACAGTGCCATATATAATAGCGCCAGTAGTGGGGGACCCTGTGCTGGTGGGCTTTTTTGGCAACTCATGGCTCAAGGAATGGATGGTTTACGAGATGGTTATGAAATAATCTTCGAGGAGAGTCCTTCAACTACCACAATTATAGATCAGCAATCTCGCAAAATGTCAAGTCTTGCTTAGTAGATAAGCATTTCGCCTGTAGCTCTCGTGTAATAAATTTGTTTCTTATTAAAAGTTCTACCTTAATTGGGTGTGGGAATAAATTAAGAAAATGTAAGAGTCATAAATATAATAGATGAATAGGTCCAACACAATTTCCTTTTCTGATCCCCCTATAACCTGTAAAGATCGGTTCCTTATATAAGAAAATAAACGTCCCAAACAATGTTCATTTCTTATTGTCCGTTTAGATAGCATTTATAATTTTGAATCATGTTGCACCGTAACAAATTGAATTTGCATGGTGACATAAGTGTTTGCTTTAATTTATTTAAATCAGCTTTATGAAAATAAAACATTTTAAATTCAATTTTATCAAAATTTAACCGGATGAAATAAGTATGTTGAATTTTCTATGAACTATTCTTAAATCGCGCGAGTAGAATTAATTTTGTCTAAAATATGGATCACATTTTCTGACTACATATAATTTCTTTTTCAAGGATTTGAGTAGGTGACTGCATGTCTACCCATGGATGAAATGTTTTGCCTCCTTTCCTATATCTCAAATGAATTAAAAAACGACAACTTAGGAAAGATGTTTGTATCGGAAACAGCAACAAATGTTGTTATCCCTTTTTAATGAAATTGTTCCATGTTACTTTGCTATGCATATTTTTGAGACTGATGGAAATGGACGAGTTCCATTAAGTGATGTATTAGTAGAAATGTAGAATGCACCAAACTTTGAACTTGGGGTCCAACCAGAAGAAGATCCCTCCAATCTAATCAAACATCTTCAGTTTTTGGCAAAATGCCTCTAAATCAACTCCACCGATTTTTCCCCAAGAGATAGAGCCCGAAACTCTTTGCAAATCTCCGAAACTTCGGTTCTTTTGCCTCTTTGCATTTTGCTTTTCTTTAGGTTTCAATTTTTTGGTCTTGTTTTAATAAGTTTATTCAAGTTTTTTTGTGTGAAAAAGTTTTAAAGAGATAATATATATTGCTTTGGGTTTTGTGGTTCACCACTAAATACGTGTTTCAGCTGAAGTGATTTTAAATTCAATTTTGAAATAATTTAAATTTAACTATAATTAAAAATAAATTTAAACCGAAGTGATTTATATATAGTTTTTTTATGTAAAAAATAAAGTGTTATTAATTAACGTAATAATAATCCTATTATTTCTGAATCTTATTTGCTCCATGCTCGTTACTTTTGTCATATCAAGGCCATATGCGTGCCTCGGACGGCACGCTACTCCTTTAATTTCACGTCAACTTTTTGTGTTTTTTGGATTAGTTAAAATAAATGAATAGATTATTTTAATAATTATGTATATAATTTATTATTGGAATAATTAATTATATGAAATAAATTTTATGTTTGAATATGTTCAATGAAAAATAATTTTAAAATAATATATTAAATTTAAATTATGTAAACTGATTAATTTTTAAAATTTAAAATATAAATAGTGTAATAATTATTTTATATTTTAAAACAATTCATTATTAAAAATAAAATAAGAAAATAAAAATTAACTAAAAAAATATGTTAATAGTTTTTAATCATAAATTTCAAAATTTTTATTTATCTTGAATAAATAAATTTTTTTAAAAAAATAATAAATTTTATAAAAGCGTGTTGCCCTTAATCCTTTGCAAATGCTGCATAATTGCGTAGAAGAAATCTTTCTTGTATAATCTATGAACAGTTTATACATGATAAAAAAAATGCTTTAATATATTTATAAGTTAAAAAACAAAAATAGTTATTAAAAATATTGATACTATAAATACATTAAAATTCTTATAATGGCCTAAATAAAATAAAATAATGTTATATTTAACAAAATATTATTATAAAAATATATATACATTCATTTAAAAAAAATTTAAACTATTATAACAATATCAAGAGTAAAAATAATACTATAATTTGATCAAAAATATTTTTTAATAACTAATAATTAAATGATATTGGGAATAATGATAAAATAATATAATCATAAAAATAAAATATTTAATAAATAATTTTTAGAACGACAGTTGATTCTTTTAAATTATTACATCACTTTTATAATTTTTTTATTTTAATAATTCACTGTAAGATTAATTAAAATTTATTTTTACATTTAAAAAATAATATTTTTAATTGATGTCTTTTCTATTTATTTTTTAATACAGAGAGTGGATTCTATAATTTGTTTTATAATTTTCCTTTCTGTATTAAATAATTTTTAATCTTAAATATCAGTATTTTATAATGCTTTACATCGCTATATTATAACTTATAAGATCTAGTTTTGTTAAATCTGAATTAATAATTATAGGTTAATTTGCACTCACAAATGTGCTTATCGAACCTGTAAAATCACAGAGATGTTGTCAAATCTTGGAAGAACATTACTCCCTGTTCTCAAATAATCCAGTCCTTTTAGCCATCACAAATGGTGGCATGGAGTAACAAAATCTCATACTAAGTGGATTTAAAAATAGAATCGAGTTTATAAATGTGTTGTGTTAGTGATAACACAATTTATATATACTTTTTTTGAGTGGTGTGATTTATAATTCTTGAGTTAGCTAATTATGAATTACTGGTGTTGACATTATTTATGATTCTTGAACAAAGGAACTTCAACTTAATAACATTCTCGAGTGTAAACCACAGGAACTTATATATTGTCATTAACCACAACTATATTTCTCTTATTCCCCCCGTAATATTCAATAATGCAAATAATCTCAACTAATTATTAACCATTTTGGCTTATAACAGCGATACAAATAAAGCTATAAAAGAATTTGAATGAGTGAACAAAAAATGTTTGGGTCAAATGAATCTGTACTTCCTTGATTCCATGATGGAAGATTCAAAAATTGATACTTGAGCCCTTATTTATAGGACCATAGAGTTTATTCTGAGTGAAAAATTGAAGGTGGCATGTACCTTCCATTGATGCCTTTGAAGCTTTAATTTCTCACCACTTCACACCCATCGTTAAATGATTGTACCATTGCTTATTATAGAATCTTTGAACACAACCGTGATTCCTGATCGAATATAAAACCCCTCTGTGGGTCTGTCTGCTTCCTGCACATTCTGCATCCCAACTACAATTGTCATTTAACTGTAATCAAAATACAATATTTAGGTAAATTACACTCTAATCTTACAAGTTAGGTTTAAATTACTCTTTTCATCTTAAAAATTGCATTTCCCCCCCTAAATTATACTTTAATATATTTTAATGTAAATGATCCTCTTGACCGTAACAAACTACTACAAATAACTTCCTTAGAAACAAATTTTTTCCTCTCTCTGAGTTTCAACATTATTAGCTAATTTTAAACTCTCTATTATAAATCTTAAGACTAATGAATTTTTAAACACTCTTACTCTCAGTTTTAAGACTATACCCTGTTTTTTATTTTATCTTTTAAAAGTTCAAGATCAATATTTTTTTTTTTAATTTAATTACTGCTGAAATTGAGAATTATAGAAAGAGAAATTTGTATCTAAAATGTTAGTTTAAATTTAAAAATTAAATTATCACCTATATTGTTTTTTCAAGGAAAATGACTGTAATTATCTGAAATAAAAAATGGAAAAATAATGATGACAGTTTCTTTAACCAACAAGGCATATTCTCAATCATTTCTAATCTATTGTATAAAGTATTTTTGTCAATAGTAAAGTGAGGATGAAGTACTATTATCAAGAGTATTCTATTAACCTATAAATATATAAATAAACCTAAACAATAACATACAATTGGGTGACCATCAAACAAAGCCTTGGTATAGAAAGGTTTGGCGCCATCATTGAAGGACCAACTAATTACCCACATGTATCCAGGGATTAAATTAACCTAAAATGATACCAACTAAATTGTGTTTAGTCTACAAACAAATTACAAGCCGCATGTCCTCCACATGTAACATGATACCCTTGTGGAAGTATAGCTAAATGGTTCTACATCCAAGACCAATAACATCAAAAGAATAGCTATGTATTGAAGAACCCATTTGCCCCAACTTCTGAAAATAAAGAAGTAGAGCTCTGTTTCGAAACTAATCAAAATCATGTCAAATTATATTTTAATAATAAAATTATAATTTATAGAGTTAAAATAAATTCACGTTTGAGTGAATTTGAATTCAATCTAAACAGAGAAAAAATAAGTAGGGTTTCAACAGCTAGGATATTACTTACTTCTTTGTTTGCAATAATTACATTGTTTCCAATTCTTGCGTTTTTGTCAATTATACAATTCCTGCACATAAAATATGATTCGTAGAGTCATAGAATAAAAGACTATATAATGTATACATTACAGAAGACACAGAAACAGTAGTTGAACTCCACATAGAATATGATACGGATCATTCTTATATTTCCACTTCAGAAGAATAATTGTGGTAACAGTTGTGTTGGTCAAGTTAAACTTTCAACTTTTCGTAACTTTGTTTATGCCCCTATGTGTATGTATGCATACACATACATGTATTGAAGGCATGCCAATCTAATGGTTAGAATCATTCAACACCATGTAAATTTGTTCATGCATTGTGCGGAAGTGTGAAAAATACGACAAAAGGAAATTCTGTTTTCAGGATTCTTACACAATTTTGGTATTTTTCCCAATGCCTATTGGAACATTCCCTGCTGCTAAAAGAGAAGCTATTTCAGCCTCTGTTTGGTAATAATCAGCACCCATAATCATGGTATCCTGTAAAGTGATTATAAATATGACTAATATGGCTTCATGTCAGGTTAAGAGAAGCTGAGCAAAAAAAAAAACACACTTCCCATACGTTGGAAAGAGAATAAAGGAAGGAAAATATGATGAGTAACATGGAACAAGAACACTTTGTTCCTAATAAATACTGTTACAATGAAGTGGATCATGATCTCAATTCAAAAAGAGAAAGGCTACCTTTAGCTGCACTCCAGAATCAAGTCTAGAGCGAACTCCCACAATGGAATGTTCAACGATGCACTCTTTTAAGAAGCAACCATCTGAAACCAAAGAATTAATTGCCTACATACAATTGACATTATTGCACAGTATCATTAGATTCTGTCAGAATCAAAGAAGCAAGCTATATGGAATAAATTTTACAGTTCTACCTGACACTTCTCCATTTTAGTTGGTGGTAGGAACCGAGGACATGTAAAAATAGGCTTGGACTGGTCATATAACTGAAACTTGGGCGGCTTCAACATGGAAGAACAATAAATTGCAGCTTGTATAAACTCACTGGATTCGGTTTTTTCACTCACACCTATAACTTTTAAATACTAAAAAACCTACCTGATCCATAAGAGCTAAGTTCGCATCAAAGAAAGATTTTATAGTCCCAATATCTTCCCAATAACCATTGAAAAGACATGCCTGTGATGAAATACAAGGGTCAAACTTGATTATTTATTAAAAAAAAAAGAGACAAACCGACTATGATAGTTCAATGCATTTATTAAAAACTACATGGACATAAAATTTGGCCAAATTCTTTCAGATTAAACAATTTGTATTACTTGAGTAGTTTTTACTTTGAGCAACTACCTGGACATTAAAATCTTTTGCAGCCATTGGAATGACCTCGGATCCAAAATCATTTGCATTAGGATAACAGCCCCTGAAATTTTGTCATTAAAGAAAAATGAAAATCACATCCTATTTGATTATTTATTTGAGTTTAAAATTAAAATACCTTCATATATATGTTCGTCCAAAGCTTTCTATAATTGACAGTATAATTCATGAAATTTGAAAAGCCAACTAGTAAAAGGTTGGCCACAGTTTATACATTCATATCAAGTTTGTCTTGGATAGAACCTAATGCCATTGCCATCGTTGGATCCAAGTAAGGTAACCAACCAACCAGTGAATAAGACTTCCACACAATATATCAATATCACCTCCATTAATTATTGCACTAAGGGAGGGACACAATAACTTCACTATTATAGAATCACCTCCCAGTTACAAAATTGATAATTCTACTAAATATTAGGGAATAAGAACCAACAGGGTAAACCCAACCTGCTAAAAGAAAAAATTACCTGAGAAGTTTCAGCAGAACATCTATTTTAAACACGTATATACCCATTGATGCAATGTATGGAAGTTTCCTTGCTTCTTGAGTTGATAGTCCAAAAATGCTCGTATCTACATGCTATGAGAACAAGTACTTCAATCAGAGAGAGGTGAATTAAGATTGACAGCTGAAGTTACAGAAGATTATCAGAGTCTTTAAGAAGAAATTGGAAAAGTAACAACCATAGATCTTAACATTTCGCCCTTGGGTTTTTCCAAGAACTGGCGTATATGTCCTCTTTCATCAACCTTCACTAATCCAAAATCAGAGGCCCGACTACAAGCAAAAAGGAAGAAAATATAAGCATTTCAGAAACCAAATGTGCACAATGGAATAGAGGAAGCTTCACTTAGAATACCTGCCATCCACTGGGAGGCAAGATACAGATATATCAGCATTTGAATCAACGTGCTTCTGCATATGAGATAAGTTATAATGTGAAATATTCACAGCAAGTTAATCAGAAAAACAATCATCAAATTAAACTCTAATACCCAACCTGAACAAGTTCCATGTAATCCATTCTATAGAGCTGATCACCACACAATATCAGAATGTTCTCTATATTTTTATGATCAGCATCCTATTCAAGTCCCACAAACTCAAATCAGTTTTGTAAGATGTAACTAAGAATGATACAAGTCTTTCTTAAACACTTGCATTTGTGGCAATCCTATGTGCTTATTGAGAAAAGGACTATTCTGCCAAATCTTCAATTTCATGAACAAGAAAAAGAACTATAGCATACCTCAAACAACCAAAGAAATTGTCTAACAGCATCAGCAGTACCTTGAAACCACTTCTTTCCTGATTCCCCAGGTGTTTGAGTTGCTGCCAATACCTACCATGACAAACTTTTAGTCTGTGTAAACCATGTTAATAAGTGTCTAGCCTGAGACATAAAAAAAGGTTAACAAAAAAGATAATAGCAATGGTAATAATAATATAAGACCAAAAAAAAAAAGCATACCTCAACAAAACCACCTCCAAAGTTAATCCCACCTCCCAAATTATACGTTCGAGCAATGTGGCGGTTTAGGGACTGAGAATTATATTGTGTGAGGACATAAATTTTATTAATTCCACTGTTAATACAATTACTCATTGGTATGTCCACCAACCTATAGCATCCTCCAAATGGCACCTGAGCATCACATTACATGCAAAATGAATATACCCTATGCCTGGAATAATAACATTAAAAGACACACAGAGGTTAGTGAATTTAATAGCTTACAGCAGGTTTAGCCCTTCTTTGAGTAAGTGGGAATAGACGAGTTCCTGCTCCCCCACCTAATATGATGGATGCAACAGTCTTTGGGTTGGCTTCTCTTCCAGCAAGTATTGGTGATTGAAGGGCCTGAAATGCAATATTATCTAGGTAAATTCATATTCAATCTACAAGTCCTCATATCCTGATTGAAAAGAACATAATTATGGTTGCTCTCCATGACCATGAGTACTTTGTAAACTTAAGTAACGAGGTAAAAATTAAGTCAATAATCAGGGATCAAGTTCGGTCAAAGTCAAAATCAGGATAAACAAGTCCAAGGCTTTCAATGGAGCAGAAATTGTTAATGGGAACGTGAAGTATATCATATTATCATAACATTAACACTATCTAAAATACTGTTTAGGAAGGTAAGTTACCATAAAGTCATTTGCAACATCTGCAAGAGTAGAAGTAGCCAAAAATTTTCTGGTTGTGTTTCTCCGTGTAACACTCAAGAATTTTCCTAGAGGAAAACCAGATGCTATATTCTTTGAATGAGGCAAGTTCACTCTGGTGCCACAGAATGAGGAAGATGGAATCCTGTCACGGTGGAAGGATGACTTCTTTGAACCCAATGACAAGGAAAATCCATGTAACCCACTTGCCACCATCATTTCTAAATTGCCATACACCATGACAATTGTCTTTATTTGATTCTTCCCTCAGGTGGTTGAAACAATCAGGTTATTATTTAAAGCCAAAGTTTATTAGTACTAGACAGAACTAATTCAACTAGAGTATCTAAATTCTACAATATCAAAAACAAATTAATAAACATCAAACCACAACAAAACTTTCGCTCTCTACCACGCAATAATCTATAAAAGGAAAACGAATGCATATAAATGGAAATAAGAGATTTACAAGACCCTTCTGTTTAAGCAATGTACAAGGGAAGAGAAAAAAGGGAAATTAAAGCAGCATCATATATGTCTTGTTGGGTTGTCCATGTATCATATTGTTTTATGATATATTTAAAAGAATTTAAAGCAAGGTGGGTTTCCCTCAAGGTAGAGCAAGGAATGGCTTAATGGCACAAAACCAACATGGAAACCCACCAAACTTTTTTTTTCCTCTCTTTTTCATTAGGATCAGAAAATCTTACACAACACAAACCGAGTTATAAGTTTCTAAAGATTCTCCGCAGCTTATACTACACTAAAAGCTAAAACCGCATCCTTATTCCTAAATGCACTGTTTTTGTCAGATCATACGCTGTTTCCCTCATCTTTTGAGGTTTTGGTCTAACAAATCTAACCAAAAATTAAGGCAGATGCTTTTCGAATCAATCAAATAGTAATTTACTACTTTCTTTCATCATCATAATCATAATGATTTGTTCTCTACCAGGAATCTAGTTCCTCACTCTCTAGCTGGCTGCAGAAAGGTTACAAGACGCACTGAACTGTTGATAGCAACTTGATGATCGTTTTAAAAAAACAATTAAATTAGAATTATGTCCATTCAGCTTATTGCTAATTGAGTTTCGTTATCAATTCAAATGATGAAAAAAACCAAGGAAGTGGATTCAATTTCAGCCCCATCGTTGCAAGCAAGAGAAGCTACTAGGGATCAAAATTGTGGGAAAATTGTGGAGCCACAAGACAGACGTATCTGCAAATACTTGCCTCCATAATTAGCGGGAACGCAGGACATTGCAGCAATGGCTACGTGACACGTCGTTTTAAAATATATAACATGATGCCAAGAATGAATTTTTCAAATGGACAAAATTAGGGATAGTTTTTCATTATTAATAATTTTAAATTAAAATTAGAATTTTATTTAATTAATCAATACTGATCACAAGTATCGACTTTTATTACATAATTATTAAAGTAAAATTTTAATTATTCCAAAAATAACATTAAAAATATCCATAAAATTAATCTTAAATTTTGTCCTATATTAAATACTGTTGCTTAAAAATGACTTTTATATTAATATATATATATATATATCCTTTAATTTTCAAAAAACACTTTTTCAAAAAAATAAAAATCACAAAATAATATTAAAATAAGTTGAAATTCCACTTTTTTTATTTACAAAATTCTACTTTAAAATATAGTCAGAACTAAATAAATAATGAAGTTCAACCCACCTTTAAAGAAGAGAATCTTTTTTAATTTTTCTTTTCCTGGAAACTTAAATGATGCTCATCTCATTCTGTAACCCAACGCTTCCTCTTTCCTTCACCCATGTCAACTGCTAATGGCAACGACATTCTCTGTCTTCCATCGTATTTGCTTTCTTCATCTGACTCAGTTCGTAGGGATAATGAGGGAATTTGATAATTATGGGAATGGTCCAACCGTTGGATGTTGATAATGTTCTTCAGATAGAGTAATTCAGACGCGCAGGTCATCTCACATGTACAAGATTCCTACCATGTGATTAGAGATTATAGTTGGGCATGCTAGAATTTCTAGACACCACTCTGACTCTGCGATCTCATCATACTCGTTACGCAATGGTAGAGATGCATGATATGCAACAAACATTTTCCTTTCCAGTAAAAGAAAGTTCTCGGGAAGAACAAGGGACAGACGAGAAAATATAATTGGTGCGAGACTATTAACCAGCTATTGGACTTTATCGGTGTGGTTATTCTACTAAACTATATTAAGCCAAGAGAGAATTAACTTCTTCAATTAAGGGGGAAAATTATAAATTGAGTTTGAGAGAAATAAACCGAGGTTCTTGTGAACATTAACGAAACTTGGGTTTACAGAAAAAAGGGAACCTTTCTACCTCCCTTTCACTGGAATGACATCTCTTCCCATCCTACTGAAGCACTCCATTCATCCGTTGCACACCTCCCAAATAAACACTGAAACAAAAATACAATTTATGGAAGAGATACATAATATCCCTCAGCAGTGTAACTTAATGCCCAACAGGTCCCCAATGAACACTTCTGAGTTCTGTCCACCAACATTAGTGCCTTGTGTCAGAGCCAGCTGCTCATGATATACAAAGCTAGATAGAAACTGATTACAGGATGCTGCTCTCCCTGAATAGCAATTTGCAAAGTAGCACGCTTGCTCAGTTTACTAAATTTGGGGGCTATGTAGCAAAAATAAGGTATTACACGACAAGGGGAGGAGAGGCTACAGGTGGAGCAAACTGTAACTGAGAAACAGCAAATGCCCTAAGAATATTAACATGATCATTAGCATAGCTATATTATTTATCAATTCTTAGATTGTTACATAGATGATCCAGCTCTGGTCTTGCATCCATCCACGCAGCAAATTCCATATTGGCTGGAGAGGTGCAATAGAGATAAGATCTGAATGTGATAAGGAAAAAATATCGCCTGCAGATGGAGGGGGGAAACAGAATGGTTACACAGGAAAATAGTACATGCCTACGTGTAAACAGTATAATCACCAACTGTTACTGGGGAAGTAAATCAGAAGCAATTGTTTACTGTGAATATTTTTTTTGTGCGATGACAAACAATTAAATGATTGTGTACTTTTCTTTCTACTTTTTCCCTACAAAATTTGACATGCGAGAACAAGATCAACATGATAGATATTTATGATAGGCGGTTAAATTGGCAATCTAAGTGTTAAAGAGATGCAAGTCAAGATCAATTTTACCCAAATAAGTTGATGTATAAATTACTTTGGAAAGTTCGTATGACGTAACGTTGTCTCATACTCTATCCAATGTCCTTTACTAAATTAAGTTAATGTATAAATTACTTTGAAAAGAAATTAAATTATCGTTTGATTGCATAGTATTCTTAAAATTCGAAAATTTATCATGCCTGATCTACATAATAATTGGCTATAATTCTAGAATTGGAAAGATCGATTCATTTTTTATAAATTAATTAGCGGTGTAATGATTAATTGTATCAATTCTTGAGGGTATAATCCATTCTCCACATAATTTTTAGAGAAAATATATTTATACCCTTTCGCAAGCACCAAGTAAACATTTATATTGGTGAGAAAGTAAATTTACCTCAAAGCCTTTATGCCCATGTCCGTAAGGTATGCACGTTCTTCATCACCATCATTGGTATTTTTCTCGAGTTCTCTATTGTAATAAAGAATATCATCTTGAATATGCCCCGCTCCACCACATCTATTTGAAAAATAGAAAACTTCAGTACAATAAAAATCCAATAACTAAAGCTTAGTTGTCAGATCAAATTTTCCCGAGGGTTAAATGATGGAAAAGATATTTCAGAACTATAAAAGTGAAAAAATAATATTTTGCAAAGGTAAATTTGAACTAATGAAAGCCTCCCCCCTCCCCGCAATCACCCAAGAAAGGAGAAAGAACATGGAGAACCCCATAATTCCATCAATATAGATTTTTACATCATAGAGAACACAATTAATTTATCCATTTTGAAGTTGAATAAATTAACATTGGTTAGTAAAGCTTCTAATCAAACTTCTTCCTAATAACCTTTCAATGACAATGTCAACATCTGCTTTGCTTTGCGGACCGTGTATGAGGACTCTTGTGAGGTTCAAAATGTCACGGTAGTCACCCATCCTAAGTGCTGTTTCATTAGAAGCATGAGAGGGCACGTTCTCTTCAGTCACAGCATGTATATGAGGATCATATGATGGCTGTTGGACTTTGGATCCTGCACTGAGTCTGATGCAGATGATGGCCATTGCATATGCAACTCCACCAAAACCTGTGTGTGACACAAAAAGGTAACTCCCTGCAGAACTACAATACAGCAAGAGTTTAGAACCAGAGGGAACATATAAAAAACAATGGTACTATTTGATGCAGCACAATCAACACTTCGGATAGAACCATTGCTATAGGCGAAACTGTTACAAGAATCCCTGACTGCTTTTTGGAGACAAAGCAAAGCCCCCAAATTATTAAAAACCACAGGTTCTTTATGATTTTAAGTACATATATTATAACTGATTCAACCAACCAGCGCAAGAACAAAAATGCCAGCAAACTAAGGACACTTACTTGTCTTGACATCGCTGTATTGCATCAACATCAGAAGCCAAAGCATTTCTTTCTCTTGTTAAAGGAATCCTCCGATAGACAATATCATATCCATCATCTTTCAGGGAAGAATAAACTTCTGCTGGTGTCTTCACATCATCTGCCCGAATGTTTTCCCAGTATCCAACCACATCAGACTGATTTGTTGAAGGGTTATATTCTTCACGGTGTAATAGCATTCGCCCCCCAGAATGTCTAATCTCAGATAATATATCTTCTTTCAGCCGAGCTTCCATGTGTTCCACCTGCATTGTGGTCACCATCAGTTGTGCAACACAATGAATTTTGTGATATGATCCAACAGACGAACTTTAGTACTAGAAGACTCACCACAGGTCCAGTGATTCCCACGTATTTGAGTGTATTAACTGGTTTGTTTAATTCCCTGAGGACAAAGGGAGTATTATTTATATAAACAACTGCTTCTTCTCTCAAATCAGTCAATATTACTTTTTGAGTAGTGAAAGCAGGTTTAGGCTGAGCGTCCAAATAATCTAGCATCTCCTTGGCACCAGAAATGGTTGGAGTTGCCATGCAATACACCGGGTATTCATCAACCTGAAAAAATGAAGTATTAGGTACTGACGATCTCACAATCACAATATCACATAATATATACATTGATAATAACAAAAAAATAATAAAATCTTTCACTTATTACATAGAAGAAAAATAAGAATTGGAATATAATAAAAAGAAAGATATGAAAGCGCTTAAACACCAAAATAATAAGACAAGCTACTTTAAGCAAAGCATGATAATGTTTTATCATTTGGATTCTTTGATGGTTCTCACATCCACAGGTCATTGATAATTCGTATATATTGTTAGCAGTCCCAATTATCAAACCAAGATGTCATAATTGCATGCAAAAACAATTTTTAAATTAAAAAAACTAATATAAATCACAATACAGTACTATTTTTAAAATTATAAATAACACTAAAACTAGTGACGCAAAGATTGTATTGTGTGAGTGGGACAAGTGTAAAATAAAAAAGCTAAATATAAAATGAGTGGAAGCAAAACAGACTAAATAGTAAAGTAAATTATCAACTAATGGTAAAACAAGTCTTTTTGTGCAAATACAAGATAAAAAATTAATCATATGTGCAATCTAGTTTCACAGTACAACAGTTTTCTCCAAATAAACTTACACCAAAAAAAATGTTATAGATGCTAATTCTACCTCCTGTAAATTTGATGAGTTAGTTTCTTTAGCAGTACTTACTTAAGTAAACATACCTTGTAAACATGAGGTGCACCATGAATTTGTATGTGACTGGAAGTTCTCTGACCAGGAAAGAAATACATTTTCAGTATGGAGCCTTTCCCCAAAACAGAACCGTTCCGGGCCTTGACAATGGCCTCCATCACTGCATCTCCATGCTGAGACTCTTGTGGTTCTCGCAACTTTTCCTAAAATTTAAATAGACATTATTGAACCAATCTTACTTCAAATTGGGAGAAAATAATACTGGAGGTAGAAAAATATTTACAGGGACAGTGAAAAATCGCCCTGGTCTTAATCTGATGCTCCATTTCATAGCCTGCACCTCTGACCTCTGATGCAACCAAACCTTGAATGTCATTTTAGATTCTCCTTGTCCACAAAACCCATCAAATGCTTCACTTCCAAGATACGCTGCAAAAGCAATTAGACGAAAGTACCGCTCCAAGTACTCAGCACCACGATTTAATGCCACCCTCCTTACCCTAGGCTCAACATGTTGCTGATTGAATACTTTTCTATATTTTAAGACAGCTTGACGAATGTTTTGAAGTGCTGAACATCTATTAATAATATCATCTAAGACCTCTCGGCATTCAACACCATTATCAAATAATGTTGTTATCTTCCATAACAAGAGGATGTCGTTTATACGAAAAACATGATTTTGTTTCTCATCTGCCTCTACTTGAGAAGTATTGGAGGTTAATGCTGTGACATCACCCCCTGCTTCGTCTCCACTTGAAGAACCACAATCTGATTCCTCATGGGTCACAACATCATTCAGTGTCTTAATGGGCCTACCATAATCAATTCGAAGTTTCACAAGGCAAGCTATGACAGTACCAGTGCTTGTCCTGCCCCTACCCATCTGTAATATCATAACAACAGTAAGATGCACTGGGGAAAAAAAAAAGACCATAAGAATCAATAGACAATCAGAAAATGAACATGGACATAACTCAAAGCAAACACCATAAGATATAAAAGATCAAGAAATTACCTGACAATTGAAAACAAATGCAGCGTCCTTTGCTGCAGAAGCAATATTAGTTGCCAAAGTGTCGAAGTCAGAACTTTTAGGAGCTTTTCCATCAGTGATGGGCACACGCGCATACTTAATGGGGAAACCCTCAGCTTCCAAGCTTCTGAAAACTTCAAGTGGGGTTTGAATCACATCAGATGTAACATGCTCCCAAGCATCAAATATCTGCTTATCATCTGTTTCATGAATTACCATTATGGCACTGCCGTAGTGTTTAGCTTCACGTAGGATATCTTCTTTTAATCGAGCTTCCATTTTCTCCACTCGTTCACGGTCAATACCCTGAAATAACAAATTTAAATTTCCAATTTACCAACAGCTGGAGACAAATTTCCACTTTACCACGAAATTCAAAGGGGCATCTAATGGTATTATAATTTCAATGTATTAGATAAGCTTTATTCAATAAATCCTCCACTATTTGTTGATCATGTATATATTAATGCATCCCCAACCTGCACCAAACAAAGTATAGGAGTTTGGAACAGCTAATCTGCTCTGAGACATAAAACTATTCCTAGGTTTTCACTTAACAGCTTAAGGTTTTAGAAGAGTTAATCCTCAACAATTCATCCAATAGATTATGAATTTTGTGGCTTTATTTATTTGTCTCAAGCAATAATTATACCACAGTGAAACAGATATCCCTCTGCTACCTCCGAAGACACTACTACAGTCACATTTTTTGTGAAGAAAAAAAAAGAACATTGTATACACAGATCCCATTTCCTGTCTCACACTGCTCACTATATACACTTCTTCCCAATTAGACAACTACATTCTTTTAGGCATATTATTTTTACTACCAACTACAACTAAATTGTTCTATTGACTGATTACAGGAAAATTTGGATATGCCAATCAATGATCTAGTTGATTATGAACCAAATGACAATAATTCTATCATTTCTATGATCTAGTTGATTATGAACCAAAAGATAATAATTCTAAGTTCTAAGTACATCTAGTGTTCACTCCCCCTCCCTTGACTCAAAATTGATTGAAAAATAAGTTCAAAGCCATGTTTACCGTGTACTCCAACATGTTTTTGTATGGTCTTTCAACTTCACGAAGAACAAATGGCTTCCCATTGATGTAAATAACAGGCTCTTCTCTCATATTATGCCAAAGTATAGGGCGCCCACCGTTAGAGCTACCAATCCTACGAATGACAGATCGGATACCATCAATGGTTGGATTTGCTACCCCATAAACTGGAAATCCAGGAACTTCTCGAAAATTAGGAGCACCATCTACTCTCTCGGGTAAAGTTGGATTTTGACATCCAGGACAGTGATCACTTTTTAGAACAGTTTGACTACCAAGAACCTCGCCATTTCTCATGGCAGCAACCACACCCATATCAAAAGGGCGACCATCAGTAGATTCAGCTATCTTCTTTAGAGATGGTTTCAGACTTGAATATCCAAGTGCACCCATTGGATCTCTCCTGAGTAACCTACAATGCCAATGGTGACATAAGATCAAGCAAGTTAACAAATAAGATTACATCAGAAGCTAAATAAATTGTAAGCATGACAGATATTTCAAATGGAGTCATGTCCTTGGTGCTTCTTTTCAGATTACTGATATAAAGACAAAATAGGGACAAGACAAGAGACATGTTTTTCAAGGTAAAAAGGTAGAATGGAATCACAGCATAACGTTCAAATTAATAATAAAATTAGCTGTGTGCTATTTTATTCAGAGAATTAGAGCCAAGTTAAAATTGGATGCCTTGAAGAATCTCTATTGGATCAACATAAGAAGCTTTTCTACTTACCTAAGCATCATCATTGTTCAAAACAGAGATAACTAAAATCTTATGTCCCAACTAAGCACATAAATAAGCCTAATTGTAAACTATAGATCTAAGTGATTAATTAATTTTGAACCTAAAAGCAATAAACCCAAGGATTTCTTTAATACCAGAACCAAGATACAAGAGCAATTAAAACATCAGACCATACTTGAAGTTGAAAGTAGAAGCAAGCTCAGTTCAGTAACTTTTATGAATATAAAGTGTCCATTACTAGACATATTAGGTCCATAACAACTCATTAGTCAAAATCACTTTGACTCAAGACTCCATAGACCAAATAAAGAGAAATTAATAAAAATTTTAAAAATGGACTTTGCATATTTATTAAAATATTAACCTGCGAATAATACTGTAGAGTTCAGGCCTTGCTCTCATCCATTCAGCAAAGCTACAGTCACCAGCTGTATTAGAATGAAGTGCAGCCCTTTCTGAATGAATGTACACAGCAAAACATATTAAAAAGTAGTATCTTTCCAGGTACTCCACAAAAAAGGATAGTGATGCCTCCCTTTTCATCTCATCTGGTTGTCGCAGAATGCTATTGCGATATGTAGCGATTGCTTCACGTAGATTCTAAAATTCAAGCAAGACAAGGATTGAATGAGGCATTTTCAGATGAAATGTGAAAATTCTATCCTCAAGATACAAGAATTCAGAACATCAAAGAAGCAGTGCAAAGAACCAAAAATTTATTTCCAAATAACAGCAGATTAGAATCATTAGAAACAGATACCTGCATTGAAGCACACTTGTCAATGACTTTGTCCACTTGTCTTTTCCCCTCAACACCACCCTGAAGCATATCATACAATTAGGACAAGAACATATTTTCAGTATTAAAAAGAAACATTAAACTTAATGTCTATACCTCTAACACTCGAATCAAGCTTCTTATGACTGCATATTCTCCCCTGCGAATTGACTCTTCTGAGTTAGGCAAATGCTCAGCAACATTTGTCGCACATTGAGAAATTCTACCAATTGAATTGCTCCTTGGAAACCCTATCATGTAATAATATAAATTCAATACTTTTTTGGTGGCAATTTCGCTGGTATACCATAGGATTTGAACTTGATGACAAAAGAGTAAGAATAAATTTTAAAAAATTATTATTCAAAAATGCTACGGATCAGTTCAATTTTTTTCCAAGTAATGGCCCTCAATAATTTTAAGACCCATTATGAAGATTGAAGAGCTTTTAGACAACTTATGAGAATAACTTTTGACTCAAGCTCTTTTTAATTCATTTCAATAAGTTTCTTGATATAACTTTTCAAAATAAGCTCAGCAATAATTTTTAAGTTAGCAACAATGTGAACAAAAGTAATGCACCAATTGGAGGTGACTAAAGAGCAACATTTCCATAACTATATATTTTCTTTTCAAGAAACTAATAAAATAACCAGCTCATTTTCCATTAAACTTGCAACTTTCATCATAATCAAGGTGGATGCTAACAAGTACAGCAAGGATGTAGCCATCTGCCTCATGTTACCTTGGAAATAAAAAAAATGCCACATTTTTTAAAAATCTATAGATTATGCTAAAAAAAATTCATATTCTCCAGTATTGGTGTAACAAAGAAGAGCATTTTAGTGAATAAAACAATTCCTTTCTTTTTTCCAATAAACAGCAAAATATATAGCTTTAAAACAGAGGCTGAATATGAAATAGATCACAATCTTATGTTAAAATATCTTATACGAACAATGAAATAAATGAAAGAAAATAAATGAAAACTGAAAAGTTGAATAAATAAATAAAAAAACTACCAGAGGCTCCTATTCGATTGAGGTAAAACAAAGTTGCAATGACCATTCCAGTTGTAGTTCGTCCACGCCCCATTTGACAATTAAAAATTATCTCTGTATTTACATTAGCTTGAGAAATTTTATGAACCTGAAATCAAAGAGGAAAAGTAGCTAAGATACATGAAATCATTGGTTTCTGGAAACAGAACAAGTGAGTATGAGTTTTCTACAATAATAACTATTGTGTTTGTACCAAATAAAAGACCCTAGAAAATTAAGCATTGTTCATCAGCAGCTTAATGGCAAGGCAATAGAGAGGGAAGCTACATTACCCAACCCCTTGATTGTACCAAAAGAAAATACATCCAGAAAGTGATATCAACAGTGATAGAATATAACTAATACAGGGAAAGCAAGCAGGATCATTCATAATTTCTTCCTACCAAATTTGTTCAGAAGCATTTATTCCAAAAAAATAAAATAATATAAACAACTTAGAACTTACCAAAATATCAAAATCCAATTCCTTCGGTGATTTTTCATCAGTTATAGGAACACGTTCATAATCAACAAGATATCCCTCCACCTGCAATTCTTCGTACACCTACAGCAAAGAAAACATCTTCGATGCATTTTTATCAGAAACTGATTGAGCAGTCTCACACTCCCATTGTAGACAAGTTCCACCCATACCTCTAGAGGCGTCTTCACAGAATTACACGACACCGGTTCCCATTGGTCCACCATTTGACCATCTGGCAGTTCATCAGTCACAAGGATCTTGTTTCCATATCTGTTATGTCAATGTACAAATAAGAATAAATGCTTAATAGTAAAGAGCAAAGACAACCACAAATTCCGCAGCACAAAATTAGCCACAGAAATACCTTGCAGCTTCCATCATAATGTCTTCTTTCAAACGAGCTTCCATTTGTTCAACCCGTTCCCTATTAATCCCCTAATTATGTACAGAAAACCACAGAAGTTAGAAAACAAAATAACCAACTGAAACACTAGCACTCAATTCAACTCAAAACAAGTTAATCCCCAAGCCAGCACAGAACCTAAATACCGCATTGACATAAAAGAATTTGAAAAACGAGCGAACAACAACATACCGTATACTCAAGGTTGGAGAAGGGTCTCTCCACATCACGCAAAACAAAGGGGCGACCATTAATGTAAGCAAGCTAATTCCAACAAATGAAGAGAAAGAACAGTTCAGAGCATCAATCATCAGAAAAAAAAAAAAAAAAGAGTTCGAGTTTAATTAACAATACTTAGCCTCTACTCAACTCAAGTATACACTAACACTATACAACTTACAAATGAAGAACACTTCAACTCCTTCAACCTCAACATAAACATAAAAGGTTTTGACTAAGTAGCAAAGCAACAACATACCGGTTCCTCACGAAGACTAATCCAAAGAACATGAAATTGAGCACCAATGTGGTTGAGAACATTTCGAATTCCATCGATTGTCGGAATGGCAACACCGTGAACATGTAACGAATCGGAAGCCTAACAACAAGAAGAGTAAGCACAAGCACGAAGCAGAAAAGAAAGACAGAGAAGTGGAAAACGCGAAAACCTGTCGATAATTGGGAGCGCCTTCGATCTGAGGAGACAAACGCTTGTTCTGGCAACCAGGAAAATGGTCGCTCTTAAGAATGGTTTTCTTCCCTAACACACTTCCTCCTCTCATCTTCATCACCTGCTCTGGTTCCTTCGGTATTATCGACATCTCACTCACTCACTTCTCTTCACACTTTTGCAATGTGGATTCCGCAATGCTGCTTCTTACTTGAATTCAAACAAACAATGACGACAAACTCACTATACTATGTGCTATCTATGTTATAGTTACAGGTGAATTTATCTGTGTGTCCTCCCACAGATTTCGAATTTGATGCCGTCAATTATTCTCTCTCTTTTTACTTTGCAGTGAATTTTCTGGGAAAATTCTGACGTTTTCTGAAAGTAGTCCCAACAACCCAAATCCTTCTTTCTCACAACGTGAAAGACGTGAGTGATCGAGTAAAGCCGCGTGAGGGAGTGTGATTTAACCTTAAATAAAATGAAGAATCTTTTTTTTTAATTATTTTTTTCAAAAACCTGATTAACGTGCATACTTAATTTTCTAAAACATTCTTACTTTTAATTTTAAAATAAATAAATAACCACGAAAACAATGAAACAATTTGAAAGTTCTTAAGTAATGGCTTATGCTGTGAATATTCTTTGTCTTTGCTCCGGTGGCCCTGGGGTGCAATATGCACTTTGCCCATCGACCAAACCAGCTTTTCCTTCCAAACGGGAATTATAATATTTGCCACATGAAAATGTGACACAGATAAATAAATTCAGGAAAAGGAATAAAAGATACTGTCATATCTTATATGGATAAAGAATACAAAAAACAAAAAAAGTAATGCAATTTAACACATAATCATGCATATAATGTGAGCTATTATTAGAAACAAAAAAATGAAATAATTAATGTCGGTAACTTTTATGCTGAGCTATTAGACTGCGTGGTTCATTGATGAATTATCATTAAATACTATTAGATTCAGTTTAATATTAATAACTTATTAAAATATTTAAGTACAGAATAATAATTACTTATTATATTAAATTGACAGACAGTAAAATGAAATATTTAGGTATTATTATTATCTTTGACTCTGATAATATGGGTTTACAATTATTTTGATTTTTATTATCTTGTTCTTTCCTTTTTTTTACAAAGTATTCATTAATTATTATATTATTTTCTTATCTATTATATTTCTTTTTTATTTATTTTTATGTTATATTGTTTTAATATTATTTTACTAAAATATCTAGAGTGTTTGTTTTCATTTTTAAAAACAGTTTTCTGTTTTTAAAATAGTAATCAAACATTCTCTTATTTTTCTGCATTATCATTTATTATAGACATGGGGTTTTTATTATTTAATTAGTTGTCAGTAAATTATCCTTTAGCTGTTGATAGTTTGACTTATTTTATTACTGAGGACTATTGTTAGTGATTATTCTATATTTAAACATCACGATTGTTTATTAATCTTAAATTTAATCTAACTAGGTTTAGTTAAGATCCACACATAAATCACATAATTTAATAATTCATAAATTAGATTTGCTATAATTTATATTGTAGATTCATACGAGGAAAACGTTGGTGTTTTTGTTACAAAATTTAAAGTAAATTTAACATTACTAAAATTATATTTATGCAATAAGATTTTGTACAAATGATATGATATTGACGTTGTTGTATTACCTTTTTTTTTCATCAATACTTCCTTACATCAATAATTGCGTGTAATAGAAAAATAAACGGTAAATATAGTTCCTATTCTTCTTCTTCTTTTTCAGAAAAATATAGTTTCTGTTAAAATCGGTGCTTAAAATCAAAGGAGAAAACAAAACGGGGAAGAAATGACAATTGGTGAGTCTCCGGGTCACGCTCAGGGCCCAACCAACAAAGTTGATTAGTTTATCACAGACTCAAAGTAACAGTCTAACAGTCCATAATAATAATAATAATAATAATTTGTTAGTGACTATTTTTATTGGCTTAAGACTAAAAGTAAAAATCAATTTCCACGCTTTATGAGAAAAAAGAGAGGATATTTTGCTTCCACTAGTGCAATTTTTTTCCTACTTAATTTAGATAACGTCAATCAACACTATTTTTTTCTTCTTCAAAATAAATTAATTACTTCTCTTTATATATGTTACGTAAGTTGCACATTATCACTAACTGACATAACGCAATTAAATAATGCGCGCATGTGAGGGGCCAATGGAAGTAACTTCAAATAATGCTATATTTTAAAAAGAACGTGAACGACATGGTGAGCGAATTACTTTGTAATATTTTTCCTGTAAGGAATTTTGTATATATATATATACATATATGTATATATATATATGCTTTCATTGTATATACTAAAGAACAGATGTTTTTTATTAATGAATTCTTACACAGAAATGACCCCTTTTTTCAGCTGTAGTTTAGTTTATTTGCAATTAATTAATGTCATGACAACCAATTTGTGTTCTTTTGAGAACCCAACTTGATATTGATGCAGCACATAGATGCTTTCACTCCCTTTACGTCTCCTTTTAGGAGCATTGTTCCATCATTTTCATTCTTTACCAAAGAAAGCAACATTTTTCAAAAAGGTTAAAAAATGAAAACCACAGACTAAACTTGGTGTCACGTCACTCTCATTCTTTCAAAGGTTGTGATACTATCCCGATTCGCGACAATTACCAAAATAGCTTATACTACTTTTTCAAGTGTGTAGTGTGAGGAAATGTCTTTCCCAGTTGAAATGGCAAAAGGTTGCGGAACTGAGAAGCTAGTCAACTCCAAAAGGATGGTGCCCATGGTTGGTAATCTCCATTTATGGCACGTTGACGTTGTGGACACAACTGCAATTTATATTAATTTATTGACTGCGTATAGCCTTACACCCAGCAATCATTTAAGAACTCACCTTCACGATGTGTTGTATCCACACATCATAAGATATTTTGAACAATAAATGTTTTTTTCCCCCGCAAGAAACACTTGTGGTTCAAATTCAGGAATTTGAAAATCAATTCAATCACACACAAAATAGGGGGACTGATTTGTAGATCATGGCTCGCCACCAATTAAGCATCATCGACAGCAAAATTAACTAGAGAACATAACTTACTCCAAGTGCTAATTAGTAATCCAAGTCTAATAGGTAACTACTGAAGTCATTCTCTTATTTCATGTGACAGCCCATAAAAAACATAAGTTTACCGACCTTGAAGCACATCCTAATCATAATTTAGATTGTTCCCCTTAAAACAGAGGTCCAGACCACGGACAACATTTAATGATTTTCAATATCCATACAGAATTTAATGTGAAAAGTAATATATTTACATTCAGAATGAAGCATCAGCATCAACATCCATATCAGTCACTTCTCTTACGATATTTTTGGGGGAAGGCAAACCAGCAGTCACATCTTCTTCAATCCCACATTCGTTTGTCCCTCTTCTGATCTTGAAGTAACCATCCTGCCACACAGATTAAAATATTACATTAGCTATAATGCATATCTTTAGCAACTGACATTCAAATTGAAGAACAAATTAAGAAACATACATCTCCCCAATCTCTGTTCCACTGATTTGCCAGAAGCTGAAACAATAGAAATATCAGTCAGTCTAAAATTCTGAATTTCAGCTAGTATGTTAGGAGGGGGGGGCTGAAATGTCACTCAGGAACATGTCAACGTACCCAATAATCCTCTCCATCATCAGTTGTTCCCCACCCAATTAGCTTTACAGCATGACCGCCTAGTTCAAAACCTGTGACGTGTTTGTAAACTCCTGATTTGTAGTGCGCAAAATCCTGTTAAGAGTTCAAATTAGTAAAAGCAAATTGTGTCCTAAAACAACCAAACCAGACACACAATATGCCTACGACTCTGCGACTATTCTACACACAAGAAAAGCAAAGGTTCTGTAAAAATGTAATCATTATGTTTGAGGTCTATATATTAGATGCAAAAAAGACACAGGTAACAGTTCGGAAATTTTTGTTAATTAAAAGGTCACTTGCAAAGAGGGGCTCTTCTAAATGCTTAAAGAGGAAGGACGTATATACTAATATATTCATATCCTGCCTGTTTGATGAGTTCATGCAAGTGACATAGGAAGTTACAGTTACACCGTCATTTTTACACCACTTTAGAGACCAAGCAACCAAATTAAACAAATAAATGAATCCAATAACTCAAAAGTCAGCTAGATTAACTTAATAGTTGTATGGTGACTCATGGAACATATAATACGATGTAAGGTCCGTTTTACTTTTGATGTGTTATAATTGTGTCTCCAACGATTAGTAACACTAGTATGTATTTAAAATCCTAGGGTCAATCTATAACCTCAAAGTACAACAGATGACAGTTGCCCCCAATTTTGCTCTGATCCAATGAGGACCCAAACAAAGGGAAAGGATAAAGAAAAATCAAGGAAAAAAAAAGAAACCAAAGCCTCATAAAACTCTTTTTCGACCAAATTTTTGTGAATGCCTAAATGAAAATGTCTTCGCACTTGCCCTGGTTTAGTAGATTGACTGCTAGGAAACAAATCCTAATTCCAAAATCCTTCCACATAACCCTTGCCTTAAATGTCTCTTAATGATCATCACATATATCGTTGAAAAGCCAATCACTACTTTTTTGAATATCTGATGCATATAACTGTATGCATTTTATTGTAGTTTTTCAGACATTTGATATTTTTTTCTTTACTTGTAAACATTAACCTTAAAAATAGCACCTAAGTTATCATACCCCCCATGAAGACGAGTAGCTTCAGACCTGTGTGAGTTAAATCTGGCCCCAAGGAACCATTAAGAAGTGTACATAATGAATCACAGGTGATGAGACCAATCACACCCAAAGGGCTAGCTATTATATACTTCTGCAACAGGATGCTGATGGAAGCAAAGGGGTTCATTCATCAAAAGCAACAAGCTCCATCAGCAGATTCAGCACCAATATTAACTTTACCAAAGAAAACTAAAGGTCATGGTACATACATTTGCAAGTTTAAAGAACAAATTTAAATGACAGGTAAATAAATGAAAAATCTGATAAGACTTGAGAAGCACCATTACAAGAAATGTACCTGGCCTAACTAAAAGGAGAAAAAAAAAAAAAGAACATAACACAAACCAGACGTATGTGAAGGAGATCTATGTCATATGATAAAATGGCATCGAAAGAATAACATTTAGACAATGTGAGATTTGCAGTTAAGTGTCACAGACCCAAGAGCCAAGAGTAAATAGAAGAATTAACAAAGTGGAAACTTGAGCAATTGTTTCTGTCTGAGATTTATCAAAGAAATTACGCAAGATGGCAGAACAAATACATGCATTACTTAATACCAACTCTTACTCACAGTATGTCCTTTCCTGATTATTCACAGCTTTCTAGCCTAAGAGTATGGACTGAGTCTAGGTTTCTCTTTGAATGGAGTTTCAAATTTCTTTTAGATTACTTTACAGTAGCTTAGTCAATCAGTGCATCCTAATGCAAGAATAAAATGAAGGAGAATTGTAAATTTTTGGCCAGTCTTGTACAATTCTTAGAGTATCGCTGCCCAAGAAAGGCAAGCAAATATCAGGGAAAAGAAAAGATTCACTGCTCGTGACTTTGGGGGGAAGTTAATTGTATTTGTAATGGATATTGGGCTAGCTAAAAGCAAACATTTATGCCAATATGACAATTAATGGGGAAAACTTAATTAGAAGAGTTGTTAATAAAAATTGAAAACCCCCATGTTGTAAAAGAATTCTTTAAAAAACTAATATAAATTTTCTCAAGCCAACAACTTCATCTCCTACTATCAATCCAGCCCATTTATATCATCCCCATCCCTTCTCCTTCTCCCCTATAATATCTTGCTTAAGGTTTTTACCCTAAAACAATCCTCAATCATACCATATTCAATTTGCATAGTAGTCAGATTTAGATGCCAATACAATAGGGCTAGTAAGGCCAATCAACTATAATTCATTAGTTGGCATATATTAATTAAAAAGTATGTTTGTTAGCATAAATATATCTTAAGATCTGTTTTATTTTGTACAATATTGTTTGAGACTTCAAGCAATATGCTTTGTCATTAACCCAGACTCTATAAAATCTCCCCAGATTAACCACAAAACCTTGAAATCCATAATCTGGTTTAAGATGGAGCCATTTTGAACATCTAGATGTTTGAACAATTTTTTTTTCTTTGTAAGAAAATTTGTAGCTTTAGAATCACCAATATTCTCTTTAACTTCCCCACTAATTCTTCTCCTAAACCATGAAAACCTGGTAGAGATTTCCCATTCCTCTCAACAACCATCCATAAGTTTCTAATTTATAGTATGTTTTGCATGTAAGATCACATGATATACCCAATCTCATTCACTCTCTATATCAATTGTATCTAAATTATTATATAATAATAATATGTTTAAAACAGAATGGTTTTGAGTTTTCAGAAATTTAATTGCAGAAATGTTGGTCAGAGTTTCCATTTACCTCATAAACAGTGAACGCGACTTCAACTGGCCCATTCTTATAAACTTCTGCCATGATATCATAGGGATCAGACTTGACCCTGTATGCATTGACACTGTAGTGCTTTGACTTCTTCCAAAGCTGGTTCCCATCGACACACTTTTTAACACACTTGGGAGTCCGATATGCTGGCTCACAACCAGGATGAGAACAGCCAATTTGATCAAAATATGGGTCACACTGCCACAAAAGAAGAAACAATGCTGAGTGCTGACTGTGACAAAGTGGAGGGAAAACATATAAAGGGATAAATTGTGAAATATCAGTCTTCAGCAGAAAATTAGCATTAATTGGAGGGGGGGATCTAAGAGAAAGAAGCCTAGGGTGTTTGTCTCTAAGCATTAACCATTTTTATTATTACAAAGTGGGAACTACCAAAGCAAAATGGAAATGGTTACCTCTTCAGTGACAACACCATGGTCGACCAAATATCGCCATGCATATAAGGGATATCCCCCGTCGCAGCCAGATCCACACAAAAAGCCACAGCATGCAAGAAGGTCATTAACAGAGAGAGACACATTCTGCAATTAAACGGATAAGATATAAATTCCTCTTTCAAGCAGCCCAAGATGCTCAAGTAGATGGGGGTAAAGAGAGAAAGGGAGAGGAGAAGACTAAAAAATAGCGGAGAATATTCACAATCACGCACACTAAACAAGATGAGGTACGACAATGTTTCAATAAAAAGTTTTACTTACTACATCAAAATGGATGCAAAAGCGATCTGATAATGCTTCAACAGCACCAAATGCCCAACAAGAACCACAGTGACCCTGAATCATAAGCACAAGGATCAGCTAAAAACTCTTTGAACCTTGAACGTATGAAAAGTTGTTACTGTGAGAAAATAAGAGGATTACCTGATCTTTAGTGAGGAAATTGATTCAGTAATCCATGTCATTGTCAAAAATAAAAAGAAGAGTCAGCACCACCTTCGAAATTCACTATTTAATTAAAAAAAGGACAGGCAACGAGTAGGCAACCTAGAATTCTTCCAATAGTGCTACACTGCGACCAAGCTGTCCTTGCATCAAAACTCTTTGGCAATTTCAATGACTTTGGGTGGGTTTTAACTGGCGCACTTCTCAGTTCCTTACCAGGCGTTGGTTTGACTCCAAGAAGGCGCTTAAATTGTTCAACCTGTGCGTCAAAGCATATTGTGTAACTAAACATGTGCAAGTGAAACTGTGAAATCCACTTCAAAGGGTAATAACAATGATAATCATATTAAGGTGTATAGAACAAATTGAAGGGTAACTGTATAATTGGAGAAACGAGGATTTATAGCAGCCTCCCATCCTGCCTCTGGATTGTCGTTAATCTGTTTAGCAATAGAGTCCTGCGTAGTAACAATAAAAAGCTTCATCAATCACATGACTGGATACATCCAAATATATATATAAGCAAAGCCATAGCACAAGAGCAATAGCACTCAAAATCATCTACGGTTTTTTCCCCAAATTTACGTGACAAAACCTAGTTGAAAAAAAACAAGACAAACGAGGAGAGTTAACGTAATCATCACCTGAAGAATACCAGAGTTAAGCTTCAGACTAGAGAGGCGTTCCGCCCCAGCGATCTGTCAAGAACAAAGCGATTTCAGAACTAACACACGTAACAGCCAAAGAATGAACAGTAGCAAAGACATAACGAAGGCAAAGGAGAAACAAAAGGAGAAATGAAACCCTACCTGGAAATATGAAGCAGAAAAGGCTAAGAAGAAAGTAACAAGAGGCAGAAGAGTTGAAGCCATTTGGTAAATGGAGAGCAGAGATGGAAAGTGGGAGAGAACAGATATTTATAATTGAGGTTTTTGTTTTGTTGACAAAGGCAACTGAGTGGGGCAGCCAAGGAGAATTTCTCATTCCTTACTTGCAGCTGCTGAATGAATTGGTTTCATAACATAATAATAGAGTGATGCGTGTGCCATGCGTCATTGGATTTTGTGTCCAACAAGCCTCAGAGTTGGGATTGGTGATTTGAGAGTTTTGACAACTGACAACGTCACCCGGCACACCCTCCAAGTTCCAAGAATATAGATATTTTTCCTTTAAATATCATTATTTGCTCCACTCAATTGTGATTCGGCTTAATAATTAAAATAATATTTTTTTTAAAATTAATTATCAAAAAAAAATTAAAAGTAAAATAATTTTCTTGTCTTGGGCAACATATTGCCACGGTTAGTCTGGATTTCATATTTAACTAAGGTAAAATTAATTTTTTTATTTATTTATTAAATTTGTCTAAAACTAGGACAAAATTATACAAAACTGAATATGTATATTATGGTTTCATATAAGAATGAGACGAAACAGTCAAAAGGTTTGAATTAAATATTCTCATCTCTTGACACTCTTTTTGTTTGATTCAGAGACGAAACATTGTGATTAGGTCACGTGTCAGCCAAGGCAACGATTAATGCATCTTCCTCTTCCTTTCTCTCCTTCTGCTCTTCCGTTGGTGCTTGAGAAAAACATCATTGTTGCATTTCTGAAGCTTCGCCTAGAATTTTTTTTATCGTTTTAGAGTGATTTTTGAGTGAGATTTGTGATCCATTATACAAAAGTGTCCAGATCGAATTGGGTTTGCAGTGAGTTCTGGCATTGTTGGACTGAAACTTTAAGAACTTCGGAGAACTAGTTACCTGCTTAATCATTGCTGAACGGAGAAGAGGAACTGCTCGCTAGAGAGACGCCGCCGTTCGGACTCCTTGTTGCCGTCGTTGAGAATCAATCCTCGTTGGAAAAAGTTTTATAATTAAATTTTAAAAACTTGATTGATTATTTTTTAGTAATAATTAGATTAAAAATTAAATTAAAATAATTTTGGTAAATTTGTAGATATATAAAAATAACCAAAATTTGTATAATTAAAATTTGATAGTAATATTATGATCAAAAATTTGAGTTTGCATTTAGAATTATTATAGTAATTTGAAGTATAAATTTATAAAATTGTAAAAAATAATTAAAAAAATAGTTAAATAAAAATTAGAATAGAAAAATAGAAAATAGTTGTATCAAATTGGTTGATTAATTACATGAGAGATAAAAATAAGAAAATAATGTATAAAATGATAACATAAATTATGTTTTTTATATTAAAAAATATAAAATAGATATATTGATTTATGATTAATGACAATATAGTTACCAAAAAAAATTATAGTTAAACATACAAAAATCATGTTGTTAAAATTGACTATACTAATTTATATTAAAATTATAGTAGCAAAAATTTGAGTTTATAAAATATTTGAAAAAAAAAATTAACTAATATTGGTAAATTATGGTTTATGATGAAATAATAAATGTGTTTATTGAATTTAAATTTCCACTCATCTTAGGCCACACAACATCCGCCACATAACCCTCCATCACCATTCATCACCACAGAGTATTATATCCCATGTCCATCACCATTCATGATTCTGCCTCCATATGATGCAACTATTCTAACACCACCACCACCACCAGTAGCTTTTGACACTGGGACCTCATATGATACCTCATACAGTCAAGGAATAAATTTAAATGTTAACTTCGAAACAATGTTAGATGTTCTACCTCCAGAGATACGTCGTAACTCACATCGTGGAGCCAGAGATAGGCATAGGGAGTGCATCTTGACACCACATTAGCCTGACCAATCGCACGAGGATAGAGATTGACTTCCTGAGGTCACTAGGAACAGATATTGCTGTCATTTATGAACATGTACCTTAACTAGATGTTTTATGACATATGTTAATTTGTTTATTTTTTCACACTGTTTTATTAACATGATCTTATGTTATGCAACTTTCTTATAAAAAGAGGATTGGGTCATAATGAAAATATTGCCATTAAAAATTACTACTCATTAGGTTAAATAGAAGTACATTGACGTGTATTGTGACCAATTTGATGACAATTACTACATTTATATCTATTTTGTGACTCAATCCAATCCATTTCATTCCTAATTCGAGTTGATTTGGATCTTTCCTTACCTCTGATTCTCGTCTTATCAAGCAGTAACTTCCACTCATTGCGTGTAAGAACATTATTGTCATTTTCCAGGGGGAACCATGGTGATGAATATGCATTCACGACATTTTGCACAGAGTAAACATCATCAATATATTGCTAAAAGTCAATACTTACCGATGTACAGGCAGCAATCACATGTGAGCATGGACATCGATATGCCTACAATCTCCCGCATTCAAAGTATCTTCTATACAGAACAACAGTCCACTTATTATCACCCCTTTGTGTGATCGGATTGAAGGCCTGCTCAACCTCAAATCTTGTTCTTTCTATATCATATTGTCTCACTTGATGTGAAGATGCTTCCTCTTGATTTTTTTGCATTTTTAGCATCAGTTTTGAACAAAACCTCTTATCATTGTTCAGGTCATTCATTGCGTCTTGTCCACGCTTCACAAAATATTCAACCATTCGTCTATAAGTGCATTTTACAGTAGCGGTTATAGGTAAGTTCCTTGCCCCCTTCAATACCTTGTTAAAAGCCTCTGACAAATTCATGGTCATGTGTCCATAACGGCATCCATTATCGTCATGACTCAAAGTCAATTTTTCCTTTGAAATATTGTCAATCCACCTTTGTATTTCTGGTGATACATTGCGAAATCTTCTCAATTTCTCTTCGAATACAACCTTTGAAGGTATATATGCTGCAAATAACAAATATTCAATCATTACTTGTAAATTAAAATCAATATAAGTTAAGATGAAACAAAAAAATAAAAAGGTCATGTTACCTAATTTCGTCAGCTATTTTTTCAAATCAATGTTCTTGAATCTATGATTAAAATTGCTTGCTATATGACGAATACAATAAACATGATATGCATTAGGAGGTTGTCATTCAATATATGGGTTTGAAACAACACTTTTGATACTTTGATGCGTATCAGATATTAAACATAATCTTGTCTTTATTGTTACATGCACACGAATCATTGCCAAAAATCATTCTCACACTGACAGAATCTCTCCCTCAATAATAGCAAAAGCAAGTGGTAGGACACAATTATTCCCATCTTGTGTCGTTGCAATCAACAATGTGTGACGATACTTACCATACAAAAATGTTCCATCTACTTAAACAATAGGTTTGTAAAAGTTGAATTCTTCCTTACATTGATTAAAATACCAAAATAATCGCTTAAATACTCTAAATCTATTGTCCACCTGATGTCCAACAACAAATGACTTCGTTTTAATTTTATAAATAGAACCTGGAGCATGAAATTGCATATACTCTAATCATCTTGGCAATATAGCATATGATTCATCTCAGTCACCAAATATGCTTACAATCGCCTCTTGTTTCACCTTCCAAGTCTTCTTGTATGAAATTTTATATCCAAATTGACTTGTCATCATTTCTTGAATTAGACTTATAAGCAATGATGGTTCAAGATTAATCATACCTACATAACAACGAAACAAAAGAGGTAAATCTCTTTATTGTCAAAAGGCTTCACGAAATAAGATATTATACAAAACTTATCAATGATGTATGAACAAATCAAATATGAATCTAGCTTGGTACGGCCTTGAGATATTGTTGGGTTGAGACATGTATGTTTACTCCCACACCTTGTTATTTTCCATTGACTTGAATTTTTAAGCAATGATACTCTTATTCTCCATAGACAACCATTATTATGGTTTAAACACTTCACGTACAATTTTATCGGTTTTGACTCAACAACAAAATAACTCTGATGTATTTTCATTGCATGCTGTTTTAAAACATTTTTAACTTCTTCTTTTGAGTCAAATAATAAACCTTCATGTAACAAATCTCCAATAACCCATGAAATGTTATCACTAATTTCTTCTGTTTCAATTTCTTGGTCTGGGTGATCTTAATTAATATAATTGTAGTGTGAACTTATATTCCAAAAAGGTATTTCACCTATAACTACATATAATCAGACATTATTCATCATTAAAAAAAAATAGTCACATTGAAATCTACTTTATAAATATTACCTCCAACATTTTCTTGTTGTACATTTAAGTTTGAATCAAAATTACTACTTACATCTGTATCCGATGAGCTATCTAACGAAATATGTCCTTCATCAATATCATTATCATTATCATTATTACTATTGACTTTATCTTCATCTTCATAACTACATAAATATATATATCCTTCAAATTACATACACCTATTCAATATGTGTCATCACTAAAATTTTTAAAAAAATAAATATTATAGTGTAAGACATACCTTCTATAACATTTATATTTCTCATTTCCATAAGATTAAGCAATGATAATGATAAGTTTAAGTCCAACATATTTGACCCAACTTTTAAACTCTCACCAAATGCAATATCCGCATATAATTTAATAACAGTTGTAATACTTTATTATTGATACGCACTAATCATACAATCAATATCTTCATCATCACACATATCCAATGCAGTGTATTGTTTAGCGTTTGAACTAACCATAAAACGAGAAATTATTTTAGATATGAAATGATTATTACTAATATTCAACTTGTCATGAATATTTTTTTTTTCAAATTCATTAAACTTATTCCTCTTTTTATCTTTATCATTTTTTTGTTACCTTCAAATGTCACACCTTCATTTCTAACAACAATTTTTCCATTCCAATATATAATAATAATAATCTCACTCATCATATATTTTAAAAAAATATCAATAAACAATTACAATTATACTTTTTTGTATAAATAATAAAAATAAATTATTGTTAAACCACATAAACATACTACTATATTTCACAATATTTTATATTACAAAAAGTTTTATATTTTTTTATACATATTCCACACACATATATAATAAATATTCACAATAAATATAATATCTATTTTTAAAATATTAAACATCTAT